ACTGTTATTACAAAGCTTCAGTTATATCCTCACACTCGTCTTCAAACCCCGTCTGGCCCTGGCACTCCCCATCTCTCTGACCTGCTTACTGCTGAACCCCGTTGTGGATTGAGTGAGCACGTTTTTTTTAAATTCTTTGAAGGGATAAAGGACCCAAATTACTGTTTAAGGATCACAGTGTTATACAGTGTAAGATCGGCATTGAAGCCCGTTGTAGAGTGTGACTGTTTTCATGCGTTAGATCATAAGCAAAAAAAAAAATGTTGCTGCAAAAATAACTCTGCACACTCGATCCACGAACTGTGTGTGGGACGCTGCTGTGCGCAATTGGCTGCCGCGTTTCACCCACAAATTATAGTCAATTCACTTTACAGTATATCCTGTGAAGAGCTTTGAGACGTCTCAACAATGTGATAAGGCGCTGTATCAAATGCAAGGATTATTATTATTATTACTAATAATCTGGAATCACCTTTTCTCTAATCCAGGACCTCTTAGCTTTCGAAGATCACCAAGGTTCAGTCGTTTCACAGAAGAAACTCAGTGTTGCAGAAATCAATCGTTTACCAACAAAGTTCTTTGATCCAGCTCACGCCGCAGGGAAAACCCAGTGAGTAAAACCATTAACTGGAATCTACTCACGAGACTAATTGTTGAAAAATGAGCTGTACTTTGTATTCAGGATTCGAAAAGAGGGAATATGGCACCTTGAGGCATCAGCTGATGTCGAAAGGTTCCTTTGAATGTTAGGCTGATTTTGTCTTTTCATGCCTTTTGTGGTTGGCAGTCACCTCTGTTCATCTGATGCAAAGCTTTCAAAAGGGAATTGGAACTGTCCTTGATGAGGATAAATTTGTGGGGCTGTGGACTAAGAGTGGGGAAGTGGAACTAAGTTGGTAGCTCTTTCAAAGAACCAGCACCGGCACGGTGGGCTAAATGGCCTCTTCCTGTAGGATTCTGTGCATATTAAAAAAAACTTCATGAATTTCAAAGGTGACTTTATAAATTGGTGGTTGCGCCTCTAGTGGGTTTTTGACAGTGGCTACTGTCACCTTTTCTTCTCCCCTCTATCCCTCCCTGGGTCAGGGTTGTGCTCCGCTGCTGTCGAGTGCTCTGGGATGTTACACTGTGTGAGGGGCGCTGAGTAAATGCGTGTTGTTGTCTTGTTCCATCTTGATTTGTGTTTACAGTGAGAGGCTGAGTTTGGGGAACCAATTCAGATTAATTTAGGTGAATGTTTAGATGAGAACATCCATAACTCAAGGCCCCTCAGGCGCTGAAACTCTTGTTCATACCTTCATCACCTCCAGACTCAACTATGCAAACGCCCGGCTTGTCGGCCTTCCCAACTCCTCCCTCCACAGCTGCAGATAATCCAGAACTCTGCAGCCCGTGTCCTCTCCCGCACCAAACTCCGTGACCCCATATCCCCCACTCTCGCCCGACTCCATTGGCTCCCTATCCTTCAGAGGATCCAGTTCAGATCCTGGTCCTCACCTACAAAGCCCTCCATGGCCTCGCCCCACCCTACCTCTGCCACCTCCTAACCCCTGACCAACCCGCCCGCTCCCTCCGCTCAGCCGGCTCTGGCTGCTCCACGTCCCCCGATCCACCATTGGCAGGAGAGCCTTCATCCACTCTGTCCCCAATCTCTGGAACTTCATCCCCCAGTCACTCCGCCTCGCCCCCTCCTTAGTCTCCTTCAAGTCCCGCCTCAAAACCCTCCTCTTCGACCATGCCATCGGTCACCCCCCTTCCCTTCCCCTCCCTCACCCCCCATCCCCAGCTCGGGTCTGAAATGCTGTCATTGTCCAGCGCCTCGGGACATCCTCCCGCCGTGAAAGGCGCTGTACACATGTAATCTTCTTGTTGTTGTAAGTTCCTTTGTCTATACAATTGAAACATTTAATAATTTAACATTATTTTCTAAGTGTTAAAACTATAATAAGCTTCAATAGCAAGTAAAGTTTTCTTTTAAAAATTGCTGCGAAGCAGAGGTCATAGAATGGTGTACATTTTTGAGGGAAAGTACACTTTGTACACTTCCTTATCACTTTGTGCCATCCATAAATCAGCCCAAAGGACTAAGAAACTCACCAAAGAGGAAGTTTGGTATTTACATGTGGTCATTCAATGCCACAGAACCATTCACCCTAAACTAGTCCATCAACTGAGGCACAAATTTCAATTAACCTTAAACTTGTGGAGTCCTGTAGCTCAGTGGTTAGAGCACTCACTTTGCAAGCGAGAGATGTGGGTTCGATTCCCGGAAGAGTGAAACCTTGGGCAACTTTCCTTACTCCACACACAGCCTGATAATAATGACTCAAAAAAAATAATAAAATTGGTCATTTCAATCCACGACTGTTTGTGGGTCACTGCTGTGCGCAATTGGCTGCTGCATTTCGCCCACAAATATGCAGTCAATTCTATGAAGCGCTTTGAGACGTCTGGAAGACGTGAAAAGCGCTGTATCAAATGCATGGATTATTATTATTATTATTATTTCTTTAATCTTGTCGGATTATTTAAAAAGAATACTATGGGTTATTGAACCAACTATTCTAGAAAATGCCTGATTTCTTTAAAATGTTTTGACTGTTGTGTTGAAGCTCAAATCCGTTTTCCACGCGGGTCTAATCTTTTATGTTCTAATCATTCCTCAGGTGTTACATCTGCTTTAGTGACTACTTGCCAACTGAGAAGCTTAGAATCTTGCCCTGTATTCATGATTATCACATTCAATGCATTGATCGCTGGTTAAAGGTAGGTATTACGGTTTGCCAGAGAAACTTCATAAACTGTTATTTTGACGGTAGATTTCATTTTGGCCCTTGGCTTTGTTATGTAGCACCTTTCATGTTTCCAAACCTGGGGGAGGGGAATGGGCAACACTTAATTGCGGAGGAGTAGAATTGTCATTATCTTAAGTTTTTTATGTAACTGCATTCTAAGGGTTCTTTAATTCAAGTGAGTTTCGTAGGTTATGAGGGTTGATTTTTTTTTAACATCAATCCACTTTGTGTCTCATTAAATCCACTTGTATTTTGATGGAAATGTCGTAACTTTGCTGTGTCTCTGTCCTGCAGGCAAACTCCAGCTGTCCCATTTGCAGAGTTGATATTAACTTGGAATCTGCTGGACTGATGTAGGAGATTTACTGACCGGAAGGTCATCAATGAGCCATACTTTAATGCAATATCATTCCGGTAGCTCGATTGTTTTTTAAGGGGAGATGCTTTCAGAAACTTAGCGATGGATGGATGAAAACAAATCTTGCTGTGTGTGCATATGCTAAGTTTGATTTTTCTATGTATTGTATACAATAGAAGTGAGGATACTCAGGATTTTAAATATATACTACTGATACAGTTGAATGCAGGGATTATTATTATTACAATGCATCTCAACCTCAGATTTTGAATTTTTTTAAAATAAAATAAAACTTGACGGTGGAAAATTTTATGTTTTCTGATCTGTACTTAAATTTCTGTAAAAGTGATTCATAATTATATCTAATTTTATGTTTGTTAATAAAAAGTAGAATAAAAATCATTGTTTTTTTAATAACTGTTTTACCTCCTCTATATGGCAATACCACTGCTGTTAAATCGAGGATCCAGTGAAATGTGAAAAACATTCAACATTTTCTTGAAGCAAAACAAATTTAGGCAATTATATCTTCAGACTGAAGACACCACATCTGAAACCAATGTACCTAAAGTAACTGAATGTCTGTCTCGACACTTCAGTGCTTTTTTGGTGCACTGCTTTCACAATAAACAAGCAGAAAATTACTAAATAGCATAGCTTTTTAATTAAAACGTTTCACACGTTCATTCATATTAATACTGTTTTATCAAACTAAATTACAATCTATTCTAAAGTTCTGAAACCTAGACACCAATTAGAAATCATATTGGTGTGGTTTCTTCAAATGTACTTTTGGTCATCTTTCCCTTCCTTGGGGTCTCCTTGGAACTGAACTGACCGGCAGGACCTGAAAGTCCCTGAGGGCAGGGAATCCTCCCCCTCAGCTCCTGCTAACCCGCAGTCAAAGCCCTAATGGGGAGGGTGGTCCTATCTGGACAAGCAGTGGGAAGGCTTGGCCCGACAGTGATATCAATGGCCAAGCTGTGTGGTTTGATCTGGTTAGACTCCAGCAGTTATCCCAACGCACACTCTGGGCTCCCCCCAAGCCTTCGCTCTTGCCAACCTGCGCCTAATACTTTCCGGTATTAGGATGAGTTCCTCCGGGGGGGGAGAGAGAGTGCATTCCATTCCAACAATCTCTCTGGGATTTCCATGTGTAGTTGGGATGCATGGAAACCTCAGTTTGGTTTGGAGACTCTTAAGGGTTTCTGTATGTGTCAGACACCCAGCTGACCAAAAAATATATTCCCCTCTTCAGTCCCTTTGACTCCCACCACTGGTTTGGGTTGGGTGCCAGCAGTGTTGAACACTTCTGAGACTTCCTGTCGATGTGAAACGTGCTGTATATAAATGCAAATTGTATGCTATTTCTGCAACAGCATTTTTATTGCAAGAGCATTTTTTATTACAATTCAACATTTTGATGTACAACAGTTTTCAAGTTTGCTGTTATTATAATTTAGGCTATTGAAACCAAACATCGATTTCACATACTATTTGCAAAAGTCTTTTTGTAAGACTGTGCTAAGGTCTTTGCTAATCTGTTATATGATTTTCTGACCCTCTAAGATTAACTACATGGATTGCGTTGTTTCAATAGTAAGGCAGGATGTTTTACGTTGATTAAATGAGTTAAATTAAAAAAAGTGGCTAAAGAGTCAATTTAGAGTCCTATGTTAGTGTACGATTTGAATTATGAAAGTTTTATCCACTTATATTGAGTGATTTATCACCATGTACAGAAACATTACTGTTACCCAGAACACTGAAGTGTTGAATTAATTTGAGGTTTTAAAAACATTGGTTCTCAACGGCACCTCATGTAGTGGAGGAGCTAATCAAACAGAAACAGAATAATATTTTTATTGATAGATGTACTCAGCATTTTAGCATCTGAATTATATATCCCGATACAAAGATGCAACCTGTCGATCTCGTATTAAAAGGATCTTCCAAATAGTCATCAAAATTAGGTTACCTCATTTCTTATTGTCATAATAACGTTGTTTCATCGCTCTGTATTTTTTAAGATAGTACATAGCCTCCAATTCCTTTATCACATATTCACCTCTCGCTATTAGGTCCTTGATGGTGTTAGGGTCCTTAACATCTTTGTTTTTCATGAAAGCAATCTTAAGACGACCTCTGAAGTAGTCTTCTCCCTTTGGATATTGTTTGCCAAGGTGCAGCAACTTTAACACAAAATAATACCACACTTTTTTTTTAGTCAAGCAGTAATGCGCATTTCCTCACTGCAATTGGATGCACTTGAGTCCATACAGGAGTGTAGTGGCACTACATACAAGACTCCATATACAGTAAGTTGAATCGTACTGATCTTTCAACGGTTGTCAACTTAACATTCACAAAACTGACCAAATTACAAAGTGTGTGTACATCTGAGTCAATGGTTCTAAAGCGGGAAACAATATTTAAGAGAAAGAAGTAAATAAATTAATCATAGTTTTATGCTTCTTCACCAGATTCACAGTGCAATGGAGCTATGTAGAATCTCCACAAAACCTTCACTGGAGTCCTGTAGCTCAGTGGTTAGAGCACTCGCCTCGCAAGCGAGAGACCAGGGTTTGATCCCCGGCAGATCAGGGCGAAACCTTGGGCAGGTTTCCTTACTCCACATCTCTGATAATAGTCCCTCAAGAAAAAAATAATAAATTGCTCACGTCAACCCACGGCTGTTTGTGGGGACGCTGCTGTGCGCAATTGGCTGCCGGGTTTTGCCCACAAAATACAGTCAACTTACTCTACAGTATATCCTGTGAAGCGCTTTGAGACGTCTCGAAGACGTGATCAGGCGCTGTGCCAAATGCCGGGATCGTTATTATAATCAATTGGTGGTTCGTTTTTATGAATAAATCTGCGTACTGACTGCTTCAGTGCAAATCTCTTCTCAACGCAAAAAGCAGACGAACAGATACGTACATTTTTATAAAGCTTTACAACTTCACTGCGTAGCGGATTTGACATGTTCCAGCTGCTGTCCTTCCAGCCCTCTTTGCCACACGGCTGCGGGCCCTGACACAGACAAAAGTTAGTTTAGGTTACACCGAGGGGTCAGAACATGTGTGTGCGCACCGTGGGGCGGGCGGGCGGTCAGAGACACTGTGGAAGCAGAAAGTGTTTCAAGAAATGTCATGGATTTGTAAAAACAAAAGGCAAATCGCTGCAGGTGCTGGAAATCCGGTACAGACACCCGAGTGGCTGCGAACACACAGCAGGTCAGGCAGCATCTATGGAGAGAAAGGGAGTGGGGGGGTGGGGGTAGGGTGGGGTGGGTGGGGGGGTGGAGGGGGGGTGGGTGGGTGGGGTAGGGTGGAGGGGGGTGTGGAAGGGGGGTGGGGCGGAGGGGTGTGAGTGGGTGGGGTGGGGTGGAGGGGCTGTGGGGGGTGTGGAGGGGGGGGTGGAGGGGGGGATGGTGGAGGGGGTGTGGGGGTGTGGAGGGGCTGTGGGGGGTGTGGAGGGGGGGATGGTGGAGGGGGGTGTGTGGGGGGTACAGTAGATAGTTTGGGGTCAATGGCACATTGCAAGCGATTGCCAGGATCTGATCGACGGTGAAACTGGACCTTTGGTCCTCTTTCGTGGAGCAAATTCTTATGATGAACAACGTATCTGATAATAAGTAATAATAATAAATATTAATAATAATAATCGTTCCATTTGGTGCTGCGCCTCATCACCTCATTGGGACAACACCAACAACAACAACACTCCATTTGTAAAGTGCCCTTCATGTCGGGAGAACGTCCCAAAGCAGTCGGGGAGCGGGTCCTGAGCGGGGGGGGGCAGAGGGGGGCAGTGACTGTGGGGGGGGTGTAGTGACTGAGTGTGTGTGAGGAGTGTAGTGACCTTGGGGGTTGGGGGGGGGTGTAGTGACTGTGTGTGTGTGAGGAGATGTAGTGACCTTGGGGGTGGGGGGGGGTGTAGTGACTGTGTGTGTGTGTGTGAGGGGGGTGTAGTGACTGTGCGGGGGGTGTAGTGACTGTGGGGGGGTGTAGTGACTGTGAGGGGGTGTAGTGACTGTGTGAGGGGGTGTAGTGAGTGTGTGAGGGGGTGTAGTGACTGTGAGGGGGTGTAGTGACTGTGTGAGAGGATGTAGTGACTGTGTGAGGGGGTGTAGTGACTGTGTGAGGGGTGTAGTGACCGTGTGAGGGGGTATAGTGACTGTGGGGGGGTGTAGTGTGTGTGAGCGGGTGTAGTGACTGTGTGAGCGGGTGTAGTGACTGTGGGGGGTGTAGTGACTGTGGGGGGGATGTAGTGACTGTGGTGGGGGTGTAGTGACTGTGGGGGAGTGTAGTGACTGTGGGAGTGTAGTGACTGTGTGGGAGTGTAGTGACTGTGTGGGAGTGTAGTGACTGTGGGGGGGTGTAGTGTGTGTGAGGGGGTGTAGTGACTGTGGGGGGGTGTAGTGACTGTGGGGGGGATGTAGTGACTGTGGGGGGGTGTAGTGACTGTGTGGGGGGGTGTAGTGACTGTGTGGGGGGTGTAGTGACTGTGGGGGGGTGTAGTGACTGTGTGGGGGGTGTAGTGACTGGGGGGGGTGTAGTGACTGTGCGGGGGGGTGTAGTGACTGTGTTGGGGGGTGTAGTGACTGTGGGGGGTGTAGTGACTGTGTGAGGGGGTGTAGTGACTGTGGGGGGGGTGTAGTGACTGTGGGGGGGGTGTAGTGACTGTGGGGGGGTGTAGTGACTGTGGGGGGGTGTAGTGACTGTGTGAGGGGGTGTAGTGACTGTGGGGGGGTGTAGTGACTGTGTGAGGGGGTGTGAGGGGGTGTAGTGACTGTGTGAGGGGGTGTAGTGACTGTGTGGGGGGTGTAGTGACCGTGTGAGGGGGTGTAGTGACTGTGTGAGGGGGTGTAGTGACTGTGTGAGGGGGTGTAGTGACTGTGTGAGGGGGTGTAGTGACTGTGGGGGGGTGTAGTGACTGTGTGAGGGGGTGTAGTGACTGTGTGAGGGGGTGTAGTGACTGTGTGAGGGGGTGTAGTGACTGTGGGGGGGGGGTGTAGTGACTGTGTGAGGGGGTGTAGTGACTGTGTGGGGGGGTGTAGTGACTGTGTGAGGGGGTGTAGTGACTGTGGGGAGGTGTAGTGACTGTGTGATGAGGTGTAGTGACTGTGGGGGAGGTGTAGTGACTGTGTGAGGAGGTGTAGTGACTGTGGGGGGGTGTAGTGACTGTGTGAGGGGGTGTAGTGACTGTGAGGGGTGTAGTGACTGTGTGAGGGGGTGTAGTGACTGTGTGGGGGGTGTAGTGACTGTGGGGGGGTGTAGTGACTGTGGGGGGGGGTGTAGTGACTGTGTGAGGGGGTGTAGTGACTGTGTGGGGGGTGTAGTGACTGTGTGAGGGGGTGTAGTGACTGTGAGGGGGTGTAGTGACTGTGTGAGGGGGTGTAGTGACTGTGAAGGGGAGTGTAGTGACTGTGTGAGGGGGTGTAGTGACTGTGTGAGGGGGTGTAGTGACTGTGTGGGGGGGTGTAGTGACTGTGAGGGGGTGTAGTGACTGTGTGAGGGGGTGTAGTGACTGTGTGGGGGGTGTAGTGACTGTGTGAGGGGGTGTAGTGACTGTGAGGGGGTGTAGTGACTGTGGGGGGGGTGTAGTGACTGTGTGAGGGGGTGTAGTGACTGTGGGGGGTGTAGTGACTGTGTGGGGGGGTGTAGTGACTGTGTGGGGGGGTGTAGTGACTGTGAGGTGTAGTGACTGTGTGAGGGGGTGTAGTGACTGTGTGGGGGGTGTAGTGACTGTGTGGGGGGTGTAGTGACTGTGCGGGGGGTGTAGTGACTGTGTGAGAGAGGAGAGGGGGTGTATTGACTGTGTGGGGGGGTGTAGTGACTGTGTGGGGGGGTGTAGTGACTGTGGGGGGGTGTAGTGACTGTGTGTGGGGGTGTAGTGACTGTGTGTGGGGGTGTAGTGACTGTGTGTGGGGGTGTAGTGACTGTGCGGGGGGTGTAGTGACTGTGGGGGGGGTGTAGTGACTGTGTGAGGGGTGTAGTGACTGTGGGGGGGTGTAGTGACTGTGTGAGGGGGTGTAGTGACTGTGGGGGGTGTAGTGACTGTGAGGGGGTGTATTGACTGTGTGGGGGGTGTAGTGACTGTGTGGGGGGGTGTAGTGACTGTGGGGGGGTGTAGTGACTGTGTGTGGGGGTGTAGTGACTGTGGGGGGGTGTAGTGACTGTGTGTGGGGGTGTAGTGACTGTGGGGGGGTGTAGTGACTGTGTGTGGGGGTGTAGTGACTGTGAGGGGGTGTAGTGACTGTGAGGGGGTGTAGTGACTGTGTGGGGGGTGTAGTGACTGTGGGGGGGGTGTAGTGACTGTGTGGGGTGTAGTGACTGTGGGGGGGTGTAGTGACTGTGTGGGGGGGTGTAGTGACTGTGAGAGGTGTAGTGACTGTGAGAGGTGTAGTGACTGTGTGGGGGGTGTAGTGACTGTGGGGGGGGTGTAGTGACTGTGGGGGGGTGTAGTGACTGTGTGAGGGGGTGTAGTGACTGTGAGGGGGTGTAGTGACTGTGGGGGCCTCTCTTGCCTGGTTGTGGTTGTGGTTGTGGTTGTGGTTGTGGTTGAGGCTGTGGCTGTCACACAGCGCGGATTTCGAGGGGAAACATCAGGGCCACACAGTGGGGATTGACCACAGCGCCGGACTGCAGCCACCGCCAACCGTCACCCGCCGACCCTCAGCACCAGCGCCACCGCCCCCCGCGGCTCCCGCTGGCACTGCAGCTCCCACAGCGCCACCGCCCCCCGCGGCTCCCGCTGGCACTGCAGCTCCCACACCGCCCCCCGCGGCTCCCGCTGGTACTGCAGCTCCCACACCGCCCCCCGCGGCTCCCGCTGGCACTGCAGCTCCCACAGCGCCTCCCGCCCCCCCGCGGCTCCCGCTGGCACTGCAGCTCCCACAGCGCCCCCCGCGGCTCCCGCTGGTACTGCAGCTCCCACAGCCCCACACCGCCCCCCGCGGCTCCCGCTGGCACTGCAGCTCCCACAGCGCCCCCCGCGGCTCCCGCTGGCACTGCAGCTCCCACAGCGCCCCCCGCGGCTCCCGCTGGCACTGCAGCCTCGGGGCAAAGGGGTCGTCACACACGAGCAGCGCAACAGCTGAGGCGGTTTCTCTGGTAACCAACTGAGCGCTGTAAACAACAGCCAACAACATGGTGAGTGTGAGCAGAGCACAGGCTGAGGATGTCTGTGAGTGGGAGTGAGTGTGGGAGGGAGTGTGTGTGAGTGTGTGTGAGTGAGTGTGTGAGTGTGTGAGTGAGTGTGTGAGAGTGTGTGAGTGAGTGTGTGAGTGAGTGAGTGTGTGAGTGTGTGGGAGTGTGTGAGTGTGAGTGAGTGAGTGAGTGTGTGAGTGAGTGAGTGAGTGTGAGTGAGTGGGAGTGAGTGAGTGAGTGTGTGTGAGTGTGTGTGAGTGAGTGTGTGAGTGTGTGTGAGTGAGTGTGTGAGTGTGAGTGAGTGTGTGAGTGTGAGTGAGTGAGTGTGTGAGTGAGTGAGTGTGAGTGAGTGAGAGTGAGTGAGTGAGTGAGTGAGTGTGTGTGAGTGTGTGTGAGTGAGTGTGTGAGTGAGTGTGTGAGTGAGTGTGAGTGAGTGAGTGTGTGTGAGTGTGAGTGAGTGTGTGTGAGTGAGTGTGTGAGTGAGTGTGAGTGAGTGAGTGAGTGAGTGTGTGAGTGAGTGTGTGAGTGAGTGGTGAGTGAGTGAGTGTGTGTGAGTGAGTGTGTGTGAGTGAGTGTGTGAGTGAGTGTGAGTGAGTGTGTGAGTGAGTGAGTGTGTGTGAGTGAGTGTGTGTGAGTGTGAGTGTGTGAGTGAGTGTGTGTGAGTGAGTGTGTGAGTGAGTGTGTGAGTGAGTGTGAGTGAGTGAGTGTGTGTGAGTGTGAGTGAGTGAGTGTGTGTGAGTGTGTGTGAGTGAGTGAGTGTGAGTGACTGTGAGTGAGTGTGAGTGAGTGAGTGAGTGTGAGTGAGTGTGAGTGAGTGAGTGTGAGTGAGTGAGTGAGTGAGTGTGAGTGTGTGAGTGAGTGTGAGTGAGTGAGTGTGAGTGAGTGTGAGTGAGTGAGTGTGAGTGAGTGAGTGAGTGTGAGTGAGTGAGTGTGAGTGTGGGAGTGAGTGTGAGTGAGTGAGTGTGAGTGAGTGTGAGTGAGTGAGTGAGTGTGAGTGAGTGAGTGTGAGTGAGTGTGAGTGAGTGTGAGTGTGAGTGAGTGAGTGAGTGAGTGTGAGTGAGTGAGTGTGAGTGTATGGAAGAGAGAGTGTGAGGTGTAGTGTAGCATTGAGGCCGAGCGATCACTCGGCCACAGACGGTTCCCATTGACGGTGTCGCCTTTAATGCGCATTCAGTCTGTACTTTGTTGGTTTCTGGTCACACACCTTCACTGACTGTTGTTTGCCCCGAGTGTGTGTGTGTGTGTGTGTGTGTGTGTGTGTGAGTGTGAGGGGGTAACGGCCGGAGTCTAACCGCAGCCACACCCACAGAGAGTGACCGTTGATATCGCTGTCTGGGCCAAGGTTTCCCACTTGTCCAGCCAGGACCACCCTCCCGGTAGGGCTGTGGCTCTGCCGGGGTTAACGGGAGCTGAGGGGGGATTCCCCGCACCCACAGCGACCAGTCTGTCCGTCCATCAACACGATCGATCGTACAACAACAACAACAAGATTCCATTTATAGAGCGCCTTTCACGTCGGGAGGACGTCCCAAGGCGCTGGACAGTTGGGTCAGGACCCGAGCATTGGGGGGAAATGGTCAGGGTGAGGGGAGGGGAGGGAGGGAGTGAGGAGGGGGAAATGGTCAGGGTGAGGGGTGGGAAGGGAGGGAGCGAGGAGGGGGGAATGGTCAGGGTGAGGGGAGGGAAGGGAGGGAGCGAGGAGGGGGGAATGGTCAGGGTGAGGGGAGGGGAGGGAGGGGTGAGGAGGGGGAATGGTCAGGGTGAGGGGAGGGAAGGGAGGGAGCGAGGAGGGGGGGAATGGTCAGGGTGAGGGGAGGGAAGGGAGGGAGCGAGGAGGGGGGGAATGGTCAGGGTGAGGGGAAGGAGGGAGGGGGTGAGGAGGGGGAAGAGAGTCGAGAGCGGAGCTGAAGGCTGAAGGTCAAAGAGAAAGGCCTTGAGACCGGCCTTGAAGGAGGAAAGGGAGGAGGCGGCGAAGGCACTGGGGATGGAGTCCCAGAGTTGATCGTAGAATCAATCCACTGTCAAGCCTTGGGTGCCCCAGGGCTCCAGTCCAGAGAGGGCACAGTTTGAAAACTATTGTAGGTTTTATGAAAGAAAGCGGCTTTGAACGTCAAGCGTTGGACACCGGCCTCGGGAGGAGCCGCAGACAGACACCCACGGGAGGCGGTGGACCAAGCGAAGCAGGAACAGTAGCGCAGCTCCAAGAAGATTCAGGGCAAAACTGACCGTGGGGCTAATTAGGTAACGCAGGGAAGAGTAAAGTGGGGGTTGGGGGGTGGGTGGGGGATAGTGAATTGGTCAAAATAGATAAAGGGAGAGTTGCTCAGATAATTAGACCGGTGGACGAAAACAGCAGAAACCACAGAAAGCGGAAAGTATGTGGTTGGTGAGAGGAGGAGGTCAGTTGTGCTTCCTTCCTTCCTTGTTAATCTCAACTACTGCACCAGTATTCACGGTGACTAACAGTAGATACGGCTCAATGTAGAATCATGAACCCCCCCCCCGCGCCCCGTAAAAAATAATTTGACTAAAAATAAAGAATGCAAAGGATTATGTAGTAATAGGTTATGACGTATGATTTTGTACAAGAAATGTAAAAGCTGTAGTGACTTTTAACCTATTCTGTTCTGATCTCTCTCACTGATTCTCTTTCATTCTCTGCCCTGTGCCAGTCAAAAAAGGAGAAAAAGAAAAAAAAGGTATGAAGGCTTTAGTGTAAGGCATTATAATAGAGTTAGACAGCGGTAACTTCATATATCTTTTAAGGTTTTTAGTTTCCGACTGCATAAGGAAGTGAAGAACAACGGTGATTAGAGAGAAAAGCTAACTTACTTGAACGTAAGAATATACAAGACCAGAAAGAGGGAGAAAGTATATATATATCTATAGTTCTTAGACTGGTTCCATTTTCAAATACCATCTCTCGCTATCTCTCAGATGCCCACTCATCCTTTTCTCTATCAAAAACCTATATAATTCCTTTCTGCAAACGACCCATAATATGCTGCGGCATAATATGGTATGAATGCAATTGAAATATTTCACCCACAGAATACCCAGTCAGTTAGTTCACTCTACGGTATGCTCTGATATCGACCTAACTGATGAAAGAGACCCAAGCGGTGCATTCCGTGTCAACGTGCAACGCGGAAAGATACCGAGACTCCAGTATCTTGCATTCAACGGCCACTACATGAAGTGGTTCGAGCACTCGCCTCGCAAGCGAGAGGGGCCTGGGTTCGATTCCCGGGCGGGCAGGGCGGGGCGGGGCGAACCCTTAGGCGAGTTTCCTTACTCCGCACGCCTCCGTTTCCCTAGCAGTAAGTAGGAATCCAGATGTGAGTCGATTGGCGGATCACTTTCCGGGTATAATAATCCCTTCAAAAAAGAAAAATGTATTAAAATAATTATAATTTTGTCAATTAATCCAAGAGCTGTTTGTGGGGGACGCTGCTGTGCGCAATTGGCTGCCGCGTTTCACCCTCTAAATATACAGTCAATTCACTTTACAGTATATTCTGTGAAGCGCTTTGAAACGGCGCAATGATGTGATAAGGCGCTGTATCAAATGCCAGGATTATTATCATTAAATGGGGTTTGTGTGTTGATTTTAAGAGCAAATGGAATATTCTAAGGACATTTCATATTTATATTTGACAATATTTCAATTTCTAAATCACATTGATGGCTTTGTGAACTTAATTTTATAGTGTGTCCAGCGTCTGAACTCCACTGTTTCTTACCCATGGGTTTTAATGCTTTTTTCCCCCTCTTTATGCTTGTGATGGGTAATGCATTTGAAACACACCTTGTCACAGTGGGCTAAATGCACCACTGTGTGGAAGACTTGTGGTCATTTGTAAAAAGGCTTCGGTAAAGCAAAATAGCAGCACTACAGAAGCGTTAAGGAGTACTGAAGAGAGTCGCAGTCCCGCTGCTTGTCCAGCCAGGACCCCCCCTCCCCGTTAGTTAGGGCTTTGGCTGTGGGGTTACCAGGAGCTGAGGGGGGGGATTCCCTGCCCCCAGTGACTGGTCGGCCCTTCCAGGTCCCGCTGATGAGTCGGGCCGGACTGTGCCCTGGGACACTGCGGCCCCTCCAGGCTCAGGAACCGGACTAGAGACCGGCACAGGGTGGGGGCTCGATTCTAACAGTCTGGGGCCAGTGCAGCTCAGAGTGGACCCCACGTACCTCTGCCCCCACCCGGGGGATGTTTAGTGCTGAACCTAAAAAAAAGAGAAGGGCAGAAAATATTTACAAATGTTGACGTTAACAAAACTAAAGGGGGTATTACTGTGTTACCATCCATGGTAAAACTCGAGAGCGCGCCTTGTTTTTGTTATAAATGATTGGCGGATCGCTCTCTGGGGAATAACAATCATTTAAAAAAATAATGATAATAATTTGGTCATTCAATCCACAGCTGTTTGTGGGACACTGCTGTGCGCAATTGGCTGCTGCGTTTCGCCCATAAATCGAACAGCGAAACAATCTCGCTCTTCTCAAAAGAGAATAATGTAATTGTTTTGGAGTAGAACTCGTATACAAATAGCTTGAAATAAAAAAAAAAACAGGTGGAAAGTCAAGGTGTGATTGAACGTGCAGCAACGTGTATTTTTTCTGTTGGAAATTACAACAGTACTTTGATTTTCAATACATGTCCATGTTTCTTTTGAATGAAGAAGGGAAAAAAGAAGTCCAAACTCGATGATAAAGTAAGCAAAGAAGAGGAGGAGAAAAATTACTTAGAAGAAGGTAAAAAATATCCTTGAAATTATTCTTGTGATTCTAGTATTATGAACAGATCATTATTCCCCACATGATTGTAAATTTATTTCGAAAACTGTGCAACGTCTAAACAGGTTCCCTTTTCTTTTTTAAGGAACGGGTTGAATATCTTTCCCCCTGACGTCTGGTACCCAGCGCTTAAATATAGCGTAGCCATGTTATAACACACTTGTGTTAGCTGTCCTGTTTGCCTACAAACACACAGTAACTATTTGTCACAGTAAATCCTGTGAAGCACTTTGAGGCATTTTGATGATGTGCTCAAGCATCACCTCATCGCCAACGGAAGGATTATATTAAAACACAATCTAGTTAAACTGGTTTTATACCACAGAGTTTACATGCGGTAAACGCCAGCGCGGTTGGCGTTTCACCTTCTGCACGGAGTAAATCCCACCGGTTCCATTTCCTTTCTGTTCGACAGAAGAAGCACGACTTAAAGCTGAACGTGAGGAGCGAGAGAGAAAAGAAAGAGAGAGACTTGAGCAAGAAGAGAGAGCAAGGATCGCAGCTGAGGTCTGTCCATTTTGTTGACTATATTTTAATACCCGTCATAAATTTTAAGTGCTCCGAGGTGTGAAGAGCGCGACATAAAAGCAAGTTATTGTTGTTGTAAATGAAGGGATGAAGGACAACATTTTCTACCCAATCAAAATCACTGACGTAGAAAATTACTTCCTTACCTTTCGCTGACATTTCTCAACTGCTAAAGATTTGGGTTGGATCACATATAACACAGGGCCAAAGTGCGAGCACTTAAATACTATATGAATTATGTATACTAATTGGAGTTGATCAGCCATGATCTGATAGAATGGTGAAGCAGGCTCGAGGGGCTGAATGACCTCCTCCTGTTCCTATATGAAATTAATGTGTACCTTATTGAATTTCCATGATTTTTCTGGTGCTTGTAGTCAAGAATGGTAAAACATTTCAAAAGTTATGTGTAAAGTTGTAAGGGTTTAACTGCAAAACCCATCATTTCAGGGTTTTTTAAAATTAAAAAATCAATTGTGGAGTCCTGTAGCTCAGTGGTTAGAGCACTCACTTTGCAAGTGAGAGACCTGAGTTCAATCCCCGGGGGGTCAGGGCCAAACCTTGGGCAAGTTTCCTTACCCCACACAGAGCCTAATAATAATCCCTCGAAAACCCAAAACAATACTAAATTGGTCATTTTCAATCTACGACTGTTTGTGGGACATTGCTGTGCGCAATTGGCTGCCGCGTTCGCCCACAAATATACAGTCAATTCACTTTACAGTGTGTTCTGTGAAGCGCTTTGGGACGTCCTCCCGACGTGAAAAGCGCTATATCAAATGCAAGGATTATTATTATTATTATTAATTGATGGAGACAGGACAGAATAGGAGAGGATATTCAGTGGTAGTTTTTAAAATACCCAGTAGAATATACGTATAAATAGTTTGAAATAAAAAAACCACAAACAGAAAGCGAAAGTGTTATTGAATATGAGTAATAAGTATTTTTTCTGTTGGAACTTATAACCTTGTACTTAGATTTTCATTGCTACATCAAATGCAAGTATTATTATTATTGAAAACAATCCTTTTGTATCCCTGTAAGCGTTTGGACCACTTTGGTGACCGTCACATATTGGGGAGATTACTTAACCACAATGCTCTTAAACGCCCTGACCTCATATGAATGATTTCTTGGCAAAGAGACAGTCTCACTGATAGATATCTCAGTCAGCCTTCCTCCATTGTCCTTATTGCAAATGTTTTTAATCAAGTTATAACATAATCTGATTTAAAGATTTAAATAGGTCACAGAACACAGCGGACTACACAATGAAGTTTTCTCTTCTTGGAAGGAGTTAAGTGTGGTTATGTACGTCCTTCTGTGGGTACAGTAATGTAAATTGGGAAAATTATGGGTGAGCCAAATTGTACAAAGTTTCTTGAATTGAGCGATACATTCGAATACAAAAAAAAACTTTGTACGAAATGGAAACTGAATGTAAACTCTTTTTGGAATAGCTAAACTGGGTATTTAGACCCCTTTTTCAGATGGCACCTGAAGACTTTCCTCTTCGACCCTTCTCACGGTCACCTCCTCCCTCCCCCCCCCCCCCCCGGCTCTGTGTTATGCTCCGTCACTGTTCAGCGCTCAGAGACATGACCTGGTGTGAAGGGCGCTATATAAACGCAAGTTGTTGTTGTTGTGTTTAACCTTTTTTTTAAAAAAAACTGCAAACAGGACAAAGAACGTAAAGAAATCGAACTGCCCGAACTCCGACATATTCTGGAAGTACATGAACATATCATTCATAAACAACTGAAACTACGCAGACAAAATATTAAGGTGACATTTCTCAAATATTATTTTCACCATTTCCTTTAGGTTTTCACCCAAAATAGTGCATCACTTTCCTACTTAATCCCCAATAAGGATTGGAATGTGCTGTAAGATTCTATGATTCTCTTTGCTTCCTTCTGTAGATACAGTATTGTACATTTTATAGGCAGGAATATTTAAACTCGGGGATATTTCAAAATATAATTTGACGCGGTATCTATTTTCACACGAACCCTGGATATCAAAACGTGGAACCTTTTATTTTTGATCTTGAAAACACATGGTTTAGCTTCTCCAGGACTCTGTCGGGCAGTTATACCAATGCGAGTTGCTATTGTTGTTGTTGAGTTGTTGGCTATGGTGAAGAGTACGTGTTTGCTTCTCTGCTCTGCTTGCAGTGGGCACGCTATATGCGGTGCGATGGGACTCCGGATCCAGCAATACTGGATGAGATCAACACGTTCATCAACCTTTCCGCAGAGAATCCAATGGTAGAAATAAAATTCTTGCTGGAGGAATGTAGGACGATTCTAAAAGTAAGTACTTGACTGACGAAAAACAGTATTTCAACTACATCATGTAGCTCAGTGGTTAGAGCACTCGCCTCGCAAGCGAGAGGACCCGGGTTTGATGCCCAGGTCGGGCACAAATTTAGGCACGTTTCCTTACTGCACACACACGCTTCTGTTTTCTCAGCAGTAAGTAGGAACCTGTTTTTTTGTCGATTGGCGGATCGCTCTCCAGGGGTAATAATCCCTTCAAAAAACAAAGTGCGGTCACTTAATCCAAACTGTTTGTGGGGACGCTGCTGTGCAGAATTGGTTGCCATGCTTTGCCCAGCAAAATATGCAGTCAATTCACTTTACAGTGTATATCCTGTGAAGCGCTTTGAGACGTCTCAAAGACGCGATGAGGCGTTGTATCACATGGAAGGATTATTATTATTTTATATATAATTAACATTGCAGAACATCCAGAAATGTTGCAAATCATTGAATTGAGTTTTAATCTTTCAAGTTGTTTTTTTCTGTAGTTCGTTATAATTAACCTGACCATTTTCTTTGTGAATTTTGCACGCTCTTGTTATTGCAGCTGATAAATGAATTGGAGTCTTTATTAATCGACACTCCCGCGAGCGAGATGGACAGCCCCATTGTGCTTCAGCACCAACGCACAATTGTATATTTACAGGAACTCGTCTCCCAGAAAAATGACAAAGTCACTGAATACTTCTTACAGGTACAGACCATTGACCTGTTACAATAGGCTCATCAGTGCAATAACAATTTACATTAACTGTGCCTTTCTGAATTAGTTGGGCCTCCTTTATAACTGATGCATAATTAATAGCGAGATTGCTCTGTGACCCGTGGATGAGGGTAATAATTAAATGTAAAAATTTGTTTTATTCAGTCAGTAACATTCTTGTTTATTGTTTTCGCAAGGTATTGTTTTCCGCTGAGCCATTATTCTCATTAACTCTTGGCGATGGATTTCGAGTGCGTGCCGCACGTCTGGCTTCAAAATGATTTTCTTTTGCAGAACGCTGTTTCCCTTGTTGACATCGAGACAGGGAACATGCAGGAGGTAGTCGGAGATGAGAACGTTACTCAGTGCGTGTGGGCAAACCTCAACAAAAATCCCAGGTACCTTCAATGTGGACAGTGAAAACAGTTGTTAGAAATAGGCTGATTGTATTTCTCCTTCCCACCCCTCTCGGCTCCCACCCCCTCTCTCTCTCTTTCTCTCTCTAACTCTCTCCCCCTGGAGGGACCCATCCTGCTGACCTAATTCCGGGCACGTATCAGACGCAGGTTGGCAACAACCAAGGCTTTTTTTTAAATGTACATTTTTAAAAATGTTTTAAGACGCCATATACATGTAAATTTGTGTTGTATTTGCAAATAAAATAACAGGCACTAACGGAACCAGGAGATTTAAAGGCGAGTTCAAAGATAGGGCTCCAGAACCACGCAAAAAAAATCTCCTTGACGATTTTAGGGACGTCTTTTTCAATCCTGTTTATATTACAGATTCAAGGGCTACGATTTCCAAGAAGCCAAAATGGAATTTGAGCTTCCTAAAGCCCTGACGATGTGTGACATTGCGGTGAGGATCATGCATGTGCATTATGACCATCTGACTTGCCTTGAGCCTGTTTGCCAGATGTTGACAAATAGTAACACAAAGGTGAAGGTCGGGGTACACGCAACATTTGAAGAAAATATGCACGCAGACAATGAGCTATCTGACGATGACACAAAGCAGACAACTCAGTCAGACAAGTCCAAGGTATCAAGTTGAAAATTGTACTTGCACGCATTATAATGCAATATAATAATAATTATAATCATAATAATGATAATAATAATAATGATCCTTGCATTTGATATAGCGTCGTTTGAACATCTCAAAGCTTCACAGATTATACTGTACAGAGAATTGACTGTTTATTTTACTGGCAAAATGCCTGCAAGATGATTATATCAAATGCAAAGATTATTATTATTGTTATATGTTGTGATCAATGACTAGATTCTTTACAAGAAATTTGAAAGGTAATATAATTGAATACTTTACATTGTTTGTGTTTTTAAAATCTGTTTATTGACATATTTTAGGCATACACAAATCAACTCGTTTACTTATCATAGGATAGAATTAAGGTCGTACGTAAGCATTAAGTATCATTATTATTTCTTCAGTGTAAGGGGAACATTGACTATAAGTTTTAGAGTCCTGTTCAAGTTACTATATAATACAAACAGAGAAACCACGTCACAATGTCTTTGCTCGCAATAGAACAACCATAATTGAGAGGTAAAGTTTGTGATATTTTAAGTCGGTGTTGGGTTAATTTACACGGACCACAGGGTGGCAGCACACCTTCTGGGTAAGTGGACTCTTCTCTCTTCTCCCTTTCCCTTCTTTTTAGATCCTCAAATAATGTTCCTTTGCTGAATGGTTGAGTAGTGATCTGTGTAGGCGTCTGAATTTCAAAGAAAATCAACCTGAAGAAACTGATTCTAAAATTATTATGCAGAGCAATGCTTGTGGTATTAGTCATATAATCCCACAGGGGAATTGTACATATTGGCATTTTTTTTAGTTTAAAATAACTTGCTTATTTTCTTCATTCTGATAAAGAACTATTAAAACCCACATGCATTTTCCTACAGTTGCTATTTCTGTTTTGGAGTAGCCACAAAACTGGAAACCAATCCACATTTACTTTTGTCACTTGAAATTTTGCTTTCTCCCGTTGTGGGTAATTCGGTTGAAATCCGCGGCTGTTTGTGGGTCACTGCTGTGCGCAATCGGCTGCCGTGTTTCTCCCACAAATATGCGGTCAATTCACTTTACAGTGTATTCTGTGAAGCGCTTTGAGACGTCTCAAAGACGCGATATCAAATGCAAGGATTATTTTTATTAAAAAGGAGTCCCACAAACAGTGGGAAACGAATGACCATTGTTTATTTGGGGGATTGATGGCCAGGAAACCGGGAGACAGAAACTCCCTTCTGTTTCCGAATCGTGCCAAGGGATCCTTAACGTCCACCTGAACACGCAGATGTACAAATAAAAATTCTCAACTGATAGCTGCAAGGACTGAGTTCCTAATAAAAAGCAAATGTGGTGAAATAAATTAACATAACGTGTAGGAGCAGGAGTCGGCCATTCGGCCCTTCGAGCCTGCCCCGCCATTCAATCATGGAAACTTGGATTCAAGTTCTTGAATGCATTTTTTTCCTTTTAATAGGATTGCATTGTGAGTTAGATATTGCATGATCAATGTTCTATGATGACATCCAAAGAACAATTGACATGTTCCTTTGGGAATTATCTTCTCATCTTTCTGTTATATCTAGCAACTTTTATCTGTCAGCAGTCCAGATGACACAAAAAGCCAGACGCCAAGCAAAGAGAAAGTAAATGGAATCCGGGATGTGAAAACACCGACGCTTGAAGCGGAAATCATTTCAAGTAAGCAATAATCTTTTCTTCAAAACTTGGGTTGTGGATACAGATAGAGTATATGCAATGTAGAATTGAGATTTTTTTTTAGATCACGGATGCACAGAAGCATTGAAACAACATTTTTGCTTCTACAAATTGGGAAAACAATAAAACTGGCATAAGTCGCACAATTGCCTAAGTCATACATCTGCCCAAGTCCGCTTTGAAAATTGGAAAGTTTGACAACAACAACTTGCATTTATAGAGCGTCCCAGAGTGCTGGACAGTGGCGGAGCAGGATGCCAAGCCAGGGGGAGGGGTAGGGGACCATAGGCGCGGTCAAAGAGGAAGTTCTCCATACTTTGCATATGTCATATTACATATATTAAATGTGTAGTCCCAACTGATAATAATAACAATAATAAAGACATCCCTTGCATTTGAGATAGAGTTTTCGAGATGTCTCAAAGGCCTTCACAGAATATACTGTAAAGTGAATTAACTGTGAATTTTTTGGGCGAAAGGCGGCAGCCAATCGCGCACAGTGATGTCCCACAAACAGTTGTGGATAGAGTGATGTTGCAGAATGAAGAAACGGTTACTATCGGACAATGTGCATGGCGAGCAGCCAGAAGAACCCAGACGAAACAGCCAGAAGAACCCAGATGAAACCGATCAGATCGGTGTCCCTGGATGGGCTCGATAATAATTAGGAACCTGGGACCTTAATTTTTCGAGTAATAGATCCACCAAATCAACAGCGTAGCAGCTCGGGGAGCGTGCACACTATCGTCAAGTAGCGTATTAGCTCAGGGAGCTATTAAGATAGATATAAGGTTAGCTCAGGGAGCTATCGAGAATAGGTATACCACAATCGAAAGTAGTAATGGGTTCCGAGGAAGATTGGAAGACCGTATTGACTAAATACGTAGAGACGAAGCGGCCCGGTTACGGGGAATGTTTGGGGAATCCATTACAAGGCCGACAGGGGGTATGGAATAATGCCCAAGTACTTTTAAAGGGCAAGGCTTGGGAAAAGAACAAAAGGGCTGTAGCTATAGTTAGTGCGGAACAAGAGAGAAAAGAGCTGGAACGGAAATGACAAGAGGAGAAGGAGAGAAACAAGGACTTAGAAGAGCAAGTTAGAAAATTGAAGGAACAATTGGAGAGTGAGAAACGACAACAGCAGCTTCAACTGACTTACAGAGGAAAGCAGAAAAGACAGAAAGGGAAGCAGAGAGGGCTATCCAGGGTAAACAACAGGTAGAAAAAGAAAACCAAGAGTTAGAGGGAAAAGTTACTCAGTTGGAGGCGGCTGTACAAGTTATGTACAAAACCCCCGCTGAGGAAAAGTCAGGAGGTGGGATTAACCATGATAAGTGCACGAAAGAAACTGAGAGATTAAAACGTCAATTGTCTGTAAAACTAGGAATGCAATGTGCTTTTACGGGATATGATGGAGGTGATGTTGATTGGGATAGTTTGGAGCACGAGGCTGCTCGTTATGACCGGGAGGAGGATCCTCCAGACTATTCCCCCGGATACCACCAGTTTGCGGCACCGATGGCGCCACTAACCACTACAAATCATCCAAAGTCAAGTGGTATCATTGAAAGAATGAATCGGACACTGAAAACAATGATACGAAAATTGGCACAACAAAACTCACAAAACTTTATATTCCCAGGCCAACTTTGATCACGTACTCACTTGCTGACCCTGCAAGGCCCTGCACAATTCCATATGCGGAGCTCTTTTGTTCCTTTGCCCAAAACCGATCTGACCGGTTTTGTCTGGGTTCTTCTGGCTGTATCGTCTGGGTTCTTCTGGCTGTTTCGTCTGGGTTCTTCTGTCTGTATCGTCTGGGTTCTTCTGGCTGTTTCGTCTGGGTTCTTCTGTCTGTATCGTCTGGGTTCTTCTGGCTGTATCGTCTGGGTTCTTCTGGCTGTATCGTCTGGGTTCTTCTGGCTGTATCGTCTGGGTTCTTCTGGCTGTATCGTCTGGGTTCTTCTGGCTGTGTTGTCTGGGTTCTTCTGGCTGTATCGTCTGGGTTCTTCTGGCTGTATCGTCTGGGTTCTTCTGGCTGTATCGTCTGGGTTCTTCTGGCTGTATCGTCTGGGTTCTTCTGGCTGTATCGTCTGGGTTCTTCTGGCTGCTCGCCATACACATTGTCCGATAGTAACCTTTTCTTCATTCTGCAACAGTGACCACATTTTTGTTGAGGGCTTATTACCCCCGGAAAAGCGATCCGCCAATCGACTCACAGCCGGTTCCTACTTACTGCCGGGTAAACAGAGGGTGTGCGCGGAGTAAGGAAACTTACCCAAACAATCGGTTAAATAATTACTTGTGTATGTTTAGATGGATTGATAACTCCGTCACCAACAGACAGGGAGAAGCATCTGTTGCCACATTTACCTGTTGGTATGGGTGTCACTCCACCTATGTCTCAGCACGTGACTCCACCTCAGTCCAGGCCTTTGACTCCACCTATAGATTTGGAGGACGGGTTTACAGCTGACCTGAACGAGTACACACCTTTAGGTGGCGTGTTTTACTTTGATGTCCTGAAACTGCCACCTCAGCCCACGTTTATTAACGGATGGACAATCGTACAGGTATGGTAAAACTCTCCCCGCATTTTACAATCAAAAAACACAGGGCAAGATAGGATTTGTCATAGCTTTGTAACTCCAACACAAACTCAATCCTCTTGGGAAGTCCAACATAAAATATACAGCAAAATTCGCATAAATCTGAACTGTGTAATTCGTATAATCGCCAAAGCTGTATATTTGCCCAAGTCCTGTTTGAGAGTTTATATTCTATGCAAGTTTGACATAACTCATACTTTGCATAAGTCGTATTAAATATATGGTTCCAACTGACTGTACAATGTTCAGCCGTGTACAAAATTCAAATGAGTTTTTTTTTTAAATTTGCTACAATTCAATGACAGAACACGTTTTCTGGATAAAGTGATGGAATCGTTTAAGTTTCTTTTACTGGCAGCTGAACTCCCCAAACGCCTCGTGTGTGTGTTTTTTTAAAACAAATGAATGGTGTAACAAATGTGCCGGATCTTTGTGTAGAAGGATGTGTAATGATTTGATAAGTAATGGCTACCGGCAAAGGAACTCAGTGATGTCAAAGTAGAAAATAATATGGCCTGGGCGGATGCCTGTAGGATATTAGTTAGAGCACTCGCCTCGCAAGCCAGAGGGCCTGGTAAGAGCGAAGCATTTCGCCCCGCCCGAGAATCGAACTCGGGTCCTCTCGCTTGCGAGGCAAGTGCTCTAACCAATTCGTTACAGGATCCCCACAATAATGGAGTCACTTTGAGTTGCACAGCTTCTCTTCAAAACAGGTTTCAAACCAAAGTTCCCCAGCAAGTTAAAAAGGTGGGTCCTGGGCATCGAAGGAATTGTAGCTTACTTACCACTAGACTTTTTGTGCTTCTGTAGTTCAATCCTTCCTGACATCCTATTCTGCTTTTCTGGTCAGGTATCGGATACAGGTTTACAAATGTATCCGTACCCCTCGGAAAGAGTGAGACAAACCAATTCAAATATAGGCACAGACATTCCCGAGGAAAGAGAAGGGGAAATCATTCTTCCTTCATTACCAGCCGGGATAAGGGTCCAACTCCCTAACACTGCGATGTTCTTTGAACAACCAACACCAGCTCGATGGAATCCTGCAGGTAACACGTTCACTCAGTGAGCGACAATTTCATCTCAGTTGCATTTTAATGTTCCATCTACACAATGTCACTCAATCCACCACTGTTTGTGGGACGCTGCTGTGCGCATTTGGCTACTGCGTTTCACCCACAAAATATAGTCGATTCACTTTACTGTATATTCTGTGAGGCGCTTTGAGACGTCTCGACATAATAAGGTGGTATTATCAAATGCAAGTATTATTAATTGTCAATTATAAATATTTAATAGAATGTAATCCTCAAGAGGTTTAATCCTTTGTTGTGTTGTCTATAAACATCTTCTAGATTGTATTTGCATTGTGTAAACATCATCTACTCTACAAATGCCAGGGTTTATGTATGTCTTTTTTGTTTTTGAAGCTAACTGTTGGGTCCTGGATGGCATTAGCAACATTCAGTTTGACGAGGAGGAGAAGACGCTGGGATTTAAGATGGACACCTTCAACATTTTCACTATGTTACAGAGAGCTCATGTTAACATGCCATTTAAATCCTGGCTGCTCAGACCCACAGCAACAACAGAGGCTATGTTTACTGTTGTTGCCATCTATGTGGAGGTGAACATAGTCATACAAGTGAAGGTGAGGGACTTGTTTTTGTCGCAACTCAACAGTATTATAGTGAACAAAATGCAAAATGCTGCAGATGCTGGGAATCTGAATGATAAGTGTTATAATAATTATTAGCCGGCTGGTGAATGTGGTTTAGGATCTGCCTCCGCCCGCTGAGAGGTAGAAGGCGTTTTCTGTGCTGAATCCTCACGAGACTGATTTGATGAAGTCCAGTAAAGTTAATATTTTCATTTGATTTATCAAACAAAAATAAAACGGACAGGGTTTGTGTCGCCTGAACCCTCTCCCTGAAGACCCTGAGAGTGAAGACCCACCGGAGACTGACAACCTTGCCCACATCAGAGGAAAATGGATGTCAGCATCTTCTCTCATGTACGCGCTGAAAAACAGCGGCCTGAACATTTTCCCCGGATACGAATCTGACGCGTACGTTGAAATAAATGCCAAGGTTAGAGAGCGTTGCCTGAATGTTTGCTCAGAACGCGGAATTTTTGCTTTAGAAAAAGACCTCAAATGCAATGATTTTTACATTGCCCTCAGTGTAGGGGCTAGAGCCCTCGCATCGCAAGCGAGAGGACCTGGGTTTGATTCCCGGGCAGGGCGGAACATTGGACAAGTTTCCTTACTCCACACGCCTCGGCTTACCTGGCAGTAAGTAGGAACCCGGGTGTTAGTCAATTGGCGGATCACTTTGCGAGGGTAATAAACCCTTAAAAAAGTCACTCAATCCACGACTGATCGTGGGACACTGCTGTGTGCAATTGGCTGCCGCGTTTCACCTACAGATCCTAAACTTTACAGTATATTCTGTGAAACGTTTTGAGACATCTCAAAGACGTGATAAGGCGCTGTATCAAACACAAGGATTATTATTGCTACAATAAGTCGCAAGATTGATCAGGAAGCAGCAACCTTGTGGTAATAATTTGAGAAACTTCTCCAAAACTGTTTTGTGTGATCACAGCACAAGCAGTTAGAGCTGGATACCTATATACAGATGGCGTTGGTAGCATCCACGATAGGTTTCAAATCGAGCAAGTGGAATTCAGAGTCTGGTGAGAATGACATCCTTTTGCAGGTAAATTATTGTTAAATATTTATTGTTATACCCTATGCATTTTTACAAACACAGCCTCAATGTACAATCAAAAAGGAAATGCTTCATATTTTCCCCAATTGTAACACAGACACATACAAACACATACTCCTACCTCTTATCTCAGTCCCAAAGGAACAGTCAATATAATCAAACAGATGATACACTTTCCATGGGTTTAGACATTGCCTTTACATATTTGAATCTTGCCATTTCTCACATTCGTACTTCTCAAATGTAACAAGTTAATGAAGTAGTCAAACAAATCCCTCGTGATTATAAGTAACTTCTGAAACGGGCACCGAACACAGAAACAGAGGAAAATTTGTTCTTAATTTAAAAATAATCAAATGTCACCAATTCCTGAGAAACTGTACTTGATGTGTGCAAACATGTCTAGCAAACTTTGGCAACATTTTTTTTTTCTTTTTTTAAATGACATTAGGCCACTGAACATCTTCAAGATGCAGCTTTAAATGACGGAGATTGGTCTCTTCTTTTGCTGACACCTGACAGATCAAATAAGTTGAAGATGAAGGAATCAGATGAAACGTACTCAAAGGACATTGCTGAGAACAGCAATTTCTACTCCAACCTATACCACACGGTAATGGGGGAGTCCAGTGAGGCTACAGCCCAAAGAATTAGATATTCTGATCATCTCTTTATTGATTCAGTCCATAAATTGTTGTGTGGTTCAAAGATGTTAACATACACAAACATCATCAATTGAAACTTTTATTGAACAGACTCATTTCCTTGCAGAATGTTAATTTAGTTTACAGATAAATAGACACGTTTATATTCACTCAAACTTACTTATTGAACATTCATTTATTGAGAGTTATTTAAAAATGACCTCTCTCCTCCCACACAAAAAAAAATCTCTAGTGACATTTGCAGAGGATCGGGTAAACATGAGTAGAGTAAACTTTAAGTAAAAAATATTTTTACGTCTTAAAACTAAGACTTTCCAGGTTTGGTGAAAGACGTTTTTAATTAAAGAAAAATTTAGTTTTACCAACTTTAATGCTTGGGTTTTGTTTACGACAAATGACGAGATTAAAAACCTCAATAAAAACAAACAAACCAGTCGAACGGAACCATCTTGAATCAAGGCCGAAAGGGAATTCTACGACGGTATCTGCCGTTCAGCAATCTCTCTCTGGGGTTTCCTTGTGTAGATGGGATGTATGGAATTCTCAGTTTGGTTTGGAGACTCTTAAGCGACGGTGATGAGTTTCCACGTGTGTCAGACACCCGTCTGGGCAATAAAACAACACATCTGCTTCTGTGGGTGATGTAATGATTATACGGGTGGCTGTGCATTGTGCTGAAGTCCGGTGTAAGGCCAGAGAAATTGTTGCACTGATGTCCAGGAATCTCCGGTGCCCCCATCGTTTGTCCCCACAGTTGCGGCATCAGCCGAGGCACGGAAAGTCCAGCCAATCACCAGGCTGGCCAAGAAGGTTAATGCCAGGACAAGGATCAGAGGGAAGCAGAGTCTCTGATTGTTTTTCAAGAAAGTATTCCCCAGTTCAATTAAGTGGGTTGATATTCCATCGTAACTTGGGGGAAAAAGTAATAAGGACAAGTCAAATTATATCCCCCACAAATTATACAGTCAATTCACCTTACAGTGTATTGTGTGAAGCGCTTTGAGATGTTTTGAAGACGTGAATAAAGCACTAAATCAAATGCAAGGATTATTATTAATAATGCTGATAATCCTTGCATTTGTTATAGCATCTGATCACGTTGAAATGTCTCAAAGCGCTTCACAGTAATTACTTTTAAGTGTAAGGACAAACACAGCAGCCAATTTGTACAAAGCAATGTCCCACAAGCAGCTGGAGGTGAATGGTCAATTTAACTGGAGGATTGATGGACAGACAAAATTCCTTCCTCTCTTCAAACAGTTTCCTGGGTTATTTAAGATCCACCTGAACAGGCAGATGGAACCTTGTTTTAATGTTTCATTTGAAGAATGGTAATAATAATCTTTGCATTTGATACAGTACCTGATCACAACGTTGTGACGTCTCAAAGCACTTCACAGAATATACTGTAAAATGAACTGACTATATTTTGTGGGCGAAACGTGGCAGCCAATTGTGAACAGCAGCGTCCCACAAACAGCCGTGGATTGGAAATCGAACCCGGGTCTTCTCACTTGCGAGGTGATCGCTCTAGCCACTATGCTCCAGGACTTTCCACCCAGAATAAAGCCCTTCCTCACTGCCCTGGAGTGTCATGGTTTGCAACATCTCCGAGGTCAGCGCCACCTGCAAACTTGATAGGTTTTATAGGTTTTAGTTCAAGAACTTACAATGTGCGAGATTCAGCACTCGGACATTTATTTCCAGGTTCTGCTGAGTTCGGGCTATCCACTTGGTCTTTAGATTCCTCCTCGTCCACTTCCAGTCCTTGGCAAGTGCTGTCAACATGAACGGGACAAAGGCAGACATTTTCAAGGGGTTAGGATTCCATGACTTATAAGTAACTAATTTGCAATAACAATCGACGGGTTGGGATTTGATGATAATGAGGTTGCACTGTAGCTTATTGCTAAAAGAGGGTTGGAGGTTGCAGACGGATGAGATCAAATTAGTCAAAAGGTTTCAGGATCAACGATACAACATAAAGAACAACAACTCCATTTACACAGTGCTCCTCGCACAGATAGCGTCCCAGAGCGCCCGACAGTGACAGAGCACGATGCTGAGCCAGTCGAAGTGGAAGGTCTTCAGGTGCGACCTGAAGATGGGGAAGGAAGGACCCAGGCAGAGGGAGGGATAGAGGGAGAGTGTTCCAGGGCGTAGTGGCTGAAAGCGCAGCCACCGATGGTGGAACAGAGGGCACGAGGGACAAGGAGGAGGCCAGATTCAGTTGAACGGAGGCAGCGGGTAGTGGGTCGGGGAGTGAGCAGGTCAGGAAATGTTCTGTATTTCCCCGATGACGGCAAACTAGTTTGACACTAAAGGAAAGTCAGACACAGAGCTCGTGGGACTCACCCTTTATTCTCTGGCAGGTCCTCAGAATTGCCCCAGGTGTAGCTGATAAATCGTTGCAGTGATGGACGTGATGGCCGTAAAGTCGGGGCAGCTGGATTTTTTTTGGACCCTAGATGTTTCCTAGAACAAAAAAAGTCACTTCCATCAAGAAAAAACTAAAGGCAAAGTACAACTGACATCTCGCTGCCTATTTCTATTTCTCATTATCCACTTGAGGATTCATTTAGAATATAGAGTTGGAGGAACGGGATACACAGTGATCATTTATCAGACAATCGTGCGAGGAGATGGCGCTGTGTAGACTGGTTTCTGCGGCTATCGTAGAAGTGACAAAGTCTGCACCTCGCTCGAGGTAGACTTCACGAACACGAGCGAGGTATTGTATACGTACCAACTGCCGGCATTGCTCTTCAGGTTGCCGCAGAAATTGTATTTGTCACCATCCGACAATCTCCGGAATTCTTCGCTATCCTTCAACTTTTTCTGATTACAGATGAAATAGAATTTTCAGCCAACCAGTGAAAAGCTTCGCATTGGAACCACAATAAATAGCCCGGAACAGACACAAAGAAAACTTACAATGTTAGAGTGTACAGCGGCAGGCTGCGTAAAAACCAAAACCTTGCGTTTAATTAACTGCATGTTATTCCAGAAACCTAGCGATTATCAGAATCATTAACCCTTCAATTGGCTGCCGCGTTTCACCCACAAAATATACTGTCAATTCACTTTGCGGTATAACCTGTGAAGCGCTTTGAGACGTGTCAAAAACGTGATGAAGCGCGCTATCAAATGCAAGGATTCTTTTTTATGATTAATAATAGGCATATCAACAAGTCCCAACACAAAAATGCAGAGATTGCCCAAACTCCACAAGATGCAGTAATTTTTAAATCATCTAAGAGATTAAATGAAATCTCACTTTAGCTAAAGAAAATGTTGAACTGTTCCTGCTTTGTTTGCAGTTGAGAATTCCTATTGAACCTCTGAGATTATTATGCCACTACATTTAAAAACATTTGTTCATAGAATCTTACAGCACAGAAGGAGGCCATTCGGCCCATTGTGTCTGTGCCGACTTTAAAAGAGCCACCAATAGTCCCACTCCCCCGCTCTATGCCATACATAGCAACTTAAAATTTTCCCTTTTCAAATATTTATCTAATTCCCTTTCAAAACAAGCTTAAATTGAAAGTACTGAATACTTCTTACCAATTCCAAGTGCCCTACTGTGTTTTTTGGAATAGCGGGCATACTAACTCTTCGCATGGAACCCTTAAAAAGAAAAACAAAACCTTATATGTAGATTAACATTAGGATCTTATGGTATTGATAAACATTTTGATCTTAATACACGCACACAGCAAATAGCAATACTTACTTTTCCTGAAATGGAGGATTTTTTATTTCGCAAATCGTCTGAAGGGGAATGACACAATAGTTTAATGAACTCTCTTTAGAAACAAACAAATAGAGTATGTTTGTTCATACTTTAAAATAAATATAATAATCCTTGCATTTGCTGTAGCGCCTTATCATGTCTTTGAGACATATCAAAGCCCTTCACAGGATATACTGTAAAGTGAATTGACTGTATTCACTGCACAGCAGTGTCCCACAGACAGTCGGGGATTGAATGATCAGTTTTTTTTTGAAAGCATTATTACCCCCAGAAAAGCGATCCGTCAATCGACTAACAACCGTGTTCCTACTTACTGTTGGTAAACAGAGGCGTGCGGAGTGAGGAAACTTGCTTACAGCCACCTTCCCCCACCCCACAGCGCTGAGTCAGGCTCCGCCACTGTCAAGTGCTCTGAGACGCTACCCTGTGTGGAGGGTGTTATCTCAGCACAAATTGTTGCCTAAGGTTTCTCCTTGACCGGGATTCAAACCTGGGTCCACTTGTTGTGAGGCGACTGCTCTAACCACTACACTACAGGACTCTCCATTGGAAACACATCCTGAACAGCACAGGAACTATTACCTCGGTTTTCTCCATATAAAGCTGTGATTTTTTGGTTCTGGACAATCAATAGCTTCATTTCCTCCAGTTCCGTGTGCTCTTTCGTGTACATCCGTTTCAGATTTTCCACGTGCTGGATCATAACCTCAACGGCTTTACTAACACGAGCCTCCTAGCGAACGAAAATCCATGTTAGTATCTTCTTTCCTCAACCAGAAAAAAAACAATCTCATCATCTCATGTGTTTTAAAATCAAAAACTGGGCAAAATGAGGTTTGCGACAGAGTTGTAACTCCCACACAAACTCAGGCTTCAGCGCTCAATCGTCTTTGGAAATCAAACATAAAATATACAGAGTATCATTATTTACCAATTCACCCACTGACTTCATGTATTTACTAAAGCACTTTTTGTCAACAGGAAAACAAATAGCTTCGATGTTGCGATAGAAACATGGTGATTGGTACCCAAATGCATGGAGGTAAAGCTCTGTAAGAGGAATTGTATTAATAAAATAATAATCCTTGCATTTGATATAGCACCATATCAGGTCATTGAGACGTCTCAAAGCGCTTCACAGAATACACTGTAAAGTGCAGTGACTGTATATTTTGTGGGCGAAACGCGGCAGCCAATTGCGCACAGCAGCGTCCCACACACAGCCGTGGATTGAGGGACCAAATTATTATTATTGCAATCAAAACACTTAACTTGATGAAGCACTTTAAAAATGCAGATTCTTTCCTTTCACCGGTTAGAATATTTCCGCGCACAAATAAATACACGATTGAGATTGATCGGAGTTCCCAGTTTGTCTTTTACCTGGTGAATGGCACCCAACATTTCAGCTCTGCTGGCCACTCTGGTCACTGCCTGGCCGAGAACCGCCAGACTCTTATCCAGCTTCTCCAAGATTTCCTGCGATTGTTCTTCTTGGTCTAAAAGGTACAAGGCCTGCAGAGAAAAGAGAATCAATTCAGCAGTTACTGTGGAACGGCCAAATCCTACCAAATGTTACGTTATATAGTTTGGGACACGACACGTGCAATCGACTGCGAGGTTAGTCGAGGTGAATTGGATGGACCTTGGTCTTATTTCGTCTCACGTGGGAATGGCTGAGAGACTGTGGAATGCACAGCTTCGGATAACTGTAGATAATAATAATAATCTTTGCATTTGATACAGCGCCTTATCACACCTTTGAGAAGTCTCAAAGCGCTTCACTGAATACACTGTAAAGTGTAGTGACTGTATATTTTATGGGCAAAACGCGGCAGCCAATTGCGCACAGCAGCGTCCCACAAACAGTCGTGGGTTGAGTGACTTTTTTTTGGTTGTTGTTTTAAGGGAGTAGAGAAACACATCAATTTCATGGGTGGGGGGAGAGAGTGGGGAGAAGAGGGAAGAAGGAAGAGACAGGGAGCAAGGCATTTCACAAGCAAACTGGCGACTGACCCAGACATGAGAATGCATTGACAGATGTTTAATGCTTAACAGAACCAAAGTAACCCAAAGACAGAGACTCGACTCGGAGAATGAGCTCAATGTTAACCTTTATCATTTGTTGACAGTTCTCAACCTCCTTTTTTAAATTTGTTTCGGCCAGTTCTTTGGATCGCTGGTCCAATCTCAGTCTTTTTTCGAGGGTGAACTTGTCACATTTGAATGCTAGTGAGAACCGAAGAAATTCAGTCTGCAATGGGGGGGGAAAAAAATACATTTGAGGGATTTGAACATACAAAGATCGAGTGAAATAAATAATAATCCTTGCATTTGATATAGTGCCTTATCACATCTTCGAGACGTCTCAAAGCGCTTCACAGAATATACTGTAAAGTGAATTGACTTTATAATTTGTGGGCGAAACGCGGCAGCCGATTGCGCACAGCAGCGTCCCACAAACAGCCGTGGGTTGAGTGACAATATTATCATTATTATCTGTTTTAGGCAGAATGTGATGAGATAATTATTACTTTCGACGTTGAATTAAGCTTGTATTTCCAAAAGGTCATCCTTGACCAACTAGGTGTCAATCTGACTCATCTGTAAGACAAGTCTCACCTCTAAGTCAGAAGGTTGTCAGTTCAAGCCTCAGATTGGACTTTTGTGCACCTCAGTGACCCACAAGCCATGAAAGAGCAATCTTAGCTGGGGGATTGTTGCCCAGATCATTGGGAGGAACACCCTTCTCTTTCTGAATACTGCTGTGGGATCTTTAACGTTTACCTGAACAGACACACAGCACCTCATCCTAAGTTTATCAAGTTCAAAATCCCGACATGTGGCTCGAGCATACAACCTTCAGACTCGGAACCAACTGAGCCAGGCTGACAAGTTACATCTAACCATGTCTGTTTCCACCTCCCCCAAAGCAAACCAACAGAAGAAAATTGCTGCGTATTAAGTTTTTTTTGTTGCTGATGAACGTCACATTTTACATTGCAAAAAGAAAAGTGAATTCCGTACTCTTTCTATTGAGATTTTAGATGAGTGTAAAGTATAGCCGAGGCCAGGGGAACGTACCTCAACCTCTTGTTCAGTTGCAGATGCTCTGGGGGGGAAAAAAAGAAAGATCAATAAACACTCTTCAAATTTTGTCCATTCTACAATTCCAATACAACATTCGCCAGACATTGCAAATCGTTTTTTTTTAAATGAAAAGTTAAACAAGTTCCACAAAAATAATAATACAATAATCCTTGCATTTGATATATCCCCTTATCATGCCGTTGAAACATCTCAAAGTGCTTCACGGGACACACTGTAAAGTGTAGTGGCTGTGTGTTTTGTGGGCGAAACGCAGCAGTGTCCCACAAACAGTTGTGGATCGAAAGACCCCCTTTTTTTTTGTTAGGGGATTATTACCCCCGGAAAGCGATCTAATAGCTTCATGGGGCAAACAAAGCAGGTGATTGTAAATTCGAACGCAGGTCTGTGTTGAGTGAGCAGATCTCAACAGTGGCGGAAGATCGTGCCATACCTCAAGGGCTTGGATTCGATGGCATAACACAATCCTGTCTCTGCCGCACAGAATTCAAAGCAGAAATTTGCATGAATTTATCTCAAACATCAACTGAAGGATGATTAAAAATATAAAGAGACTCTAGGAGAGGGCAGGGCAGGGAAGATATTAATTTTGCATTAGTCCTTACTTCTGCCATAAGGTCCTTTTCAAGAGATCTTTAGTTTTATCGGACAACTGAGTGTTATCTGTTGAGAGAAGAGTTATAGGATTGGTTGTGTGTACATTACAGACAGAGCAACATAAATCACACAAGGTTAAATGATAATCCTTGCATTTGATACAGTGCCTTATCACGTCTTTGAGGCATCTCAAAGTGCTTCACAGGATACACTGTAAAGTGAGTTGACTGTATGTTTTGTGGGTGAAACGCAGCAGCCAATTGCACACAGTGGTGTCCCACAAATTGAATCCTATTATAGAGTAGTTCTCATTCCCATCTTAAATTTTCTCCTGCTCAGATGCCTGGTTCCTAAACAGCACACCATTCCCAAATCAAAAAGACATGAAGATATACAACTTTTAGAAAACCAACACACTTTCAGTCCCGACAGACAGCAATTAATTGTCTTACCTTCAACAAACGTAATTCTCCTTCCAGCGGTGCCTGGCGATTCCTTGGAGCTCAATTCCTCTTCGGCTCCATTTTTTCTGACCACTTTCTAGATATGTTAAGGAGAAATTAAAAGTTACCATGAAGAGAAAATTAGAACGTAAGATTTTGTTGGCGAAAGCAGACCAAGGTGCATCCAATTTGCCTTCCACCACGATCCTGGGAGTCACTTGACATGTTGTGTCCCAAACTATATACTGTATCCCCAGATATTATTTCCTAACAGAAATCTGGTTCATTTGTTCTTGAAAGAATCGACACTTTCTGTTTCCACCGTCTGTCTGTCTCCCTAAAGAGCCTGGTCCCTACATTTACTACTCGCTCACTGAACTAGTGTTTCCGCAGATTGGTTCTGAATTTGCAGCCTCTCTCTGCAGAACACTGTACACGAGAACCAATTCATTGGATTAAAATACTCACAAGACACTTCTGAAGAAAATAAAGGACAGTTAATGTTCTCTGCAACAATGCAGTGTTTCCTCAAGTCATAAGAGAAAGTAGGCTGCTTATCTCACCTGATTACCATAGTCATATGATTGGAAACATGTAGTGGGGTGGTAAGATTTGGAGAAAAATAAAAAGGAGAGTAAAAACAAAGCGCCACAGGAGGATAAACCCGGTCACTGCTCTTTATTGATTTCAAGATCCTCACTAGCTTTCAAATCCCTTCATGCCCTGGCACCTCCCTACCTACCTCTCTGACCTGCTCACTCCCCAACCCACTACCCGTTGCCTCCGCTCGACTGGCTCCGGACTCCAGTTTGTCCCTCGTGCCCTCCATTCCACCATCGGTGGCTGCACTTTTATGCCCTGAAACTCTGGAACACTCTTTTTCAATCCCTCATCTGCCTTGTCCCCTCCTTCCCCATCTTCAGGTCGCGCTTGAAGACCCTCCTCTTCGACCGTGCCTACAGTCACCTCCCACTCCCCCCGGCTCGGTGCCGTGCTCCACCACTGTCAAGCGCTCTGGAACCTGCCCTGCCTGAGGGGATGTTGTGTAAATACAAGTTCTTATTATTATGGTATCCATTGGGGATCTGTGGTACAACCAAGGCAGCATTATATCTAAGGGAGGATACAACAGGCTCCCTGCTTAAAGGGATAAATAATAAATGGTGGGGAAATGGGATTAAAAGGTTTGCCATGATCTGATCACAAAATGGCAGAATATCTTTATGGTCTACTTCTATTCTTATGTGTTTGTAAATTAGTTCTTACTCAAGATACCAACCTCGGAGAGGGTTTGACCAGCGCGTACAAGAAGTGACGAACCATCTGTTGAAACAGAAATAATTTCAAATCATTTCAAGCACAAATCATAGAATCACAGAAGCACAGAGGGAGGCCATTCGGCCCATTGTGCCGTACATGCTAATGTTTTGTAGACAGACATTACAAGCATGTCATACCTTGTAAAGAGACACCCACAGGAATTCTAATCGAGTTCAAAATGTCTGCACTTCAGTAAATAATAATCCTTGTATTTGATATAGCGCCTTATCACATCGTTCAGAATTCTCAAAGCGCTTCACAGAATATACTGTAATGTGAATTGACTGTATACTTTGTGGATGAAACGCGGCAGCCAATTGCACACAGCAGCGTCCCACAAACAGTCGTGGATTGAATGACAATTGTTCTTGTAGGGATTATTACCCCCGGAAAAGCAATCTGCCAATCGACTGACAACCTGGTTCCTACTTACGGCTGTGTAAACAGAGGGGTGTGGAGTAAGGAAAATTCCTTAACGTTTCGCCCTGCCCGGAAATCAAACCCAGGTCCTCTCGCTTACGAACCATTAAGTGAAAATGAATGGGAACGGATGAGATCACATTTCGCCCACAAAATATACGGTCACTACACTTTACGGTATAATCTGTGAAGTGCTTTGAGACATGTCGAAGGTGTGATAAACAACAACAAGCAGTTATATAGCGTCCTTCATGTGGAGTAGCGTCCTGGAGCACTTAAGGCGCTATATCAAATGCAAGGGTTATTATTATTATTATTGGATGGACCAAAGGGCCTTCTTCCCCCAGATCAATCTTGATCACTTTGGTAGGAAAGTCACAATGCTCACATCAAGGTTCTTACCTTCCAACATCCTGTTGGTCTCCAGGCTGTCATGCAGGGAGATTTCCTGGATGGCTGTTAGATTCTCACTAGACAAAACGGTACAATTACAATAATGTTTCAGTGCTCAGAAATGTACAGGGATTATTATTGCAAGTGTTTTCCCCGAACAATACACTTAAAAATCTTACCTGGGAGGACTGTAACGAGAATCCATGGTTTGACCAGCAGATGCCTATGAATAAGATGTACATAATGGTATTTTAGCTTCAAATATTATTTTGATATTTGCTATGAGAAATCATTTTTGGTATTTCAGGTTCCGTCACAGTCTGACAATTGGAACATTTTGTTACTTTACACACAAATTATATTTCCTTGCAGTAATTTCTAGGCTTCTGTGCATTTTAATAATAATCCTTGCATTTACTAATCTTTGCATTTGATATAACACCTTATTATTCATGGAGACATCTCAAAGAGCTTCACAGAATACACTGTAAAGTGAATTGACTGTATATTTTATTTGTGAAAACGCGGCAGCCAATTGCGCACAGCAGTGTCTCACACACAGTTGTGGATTGAGTGAACAAATTATTATTATGGAGGGATAATTAATTCCAGAAAGCAATCTGCCTATTCAACTAACAACTGGGTCCCTACTAACTGCTGGTAAACAGAGCTGTGTGGGATAAGGAAACTTGCCTAAGGTTTCGCCCTGTCCGGGATCAAACCCAGGTCCTCTCACGACATGTAATACTGCCTCGACTTCCTCTTTTGAAATGAGATGCTTTCATGCATGAGAATTGCAAAATTATATGCATTTGTGTGTGTGTGAGTGTGTGTGTGGTGGTGTGTGTGTGTGATGGTGTGTGTGTGTGAGTGTGTGTGTGTGGTGGTGTGTGTGTGTGAGTGTGTGTGTGTGTGTGTGTGAGTGTGGTGGTGTGTGTGTGTGAGAGAAACTCTTTTCTATTCAAGCAATAAATTATTTTCATGGCTGTGTGTGGGACGCTGCTGTGCGCAATTGGCTGCTGTGTTTCGCCCACAAAATATACAGTCAATTCACTTTACAGTATATTCTGTGAAGCGCTTTGAGGCGTGTTAACAAAGTGATCAGGCGCTATATCAAGTGCAAGGATTATTATTAATAATAAGAGACCAAAAATAACAAGGCAACCACAAGGAAAAGATTTTTTAAATGTAAAAAAATCTTATTACAGAAATTAATGGCTAACAATACAACTGCAAATTTATTCTGCCGTTTAAAAAACTTGACAACCACAAGTGATTCAGTTCAGGGGCTGTATAACATACAAAAACAATTGAGTGGCAGAAAAAGTCTTAGTGAATAATATTGTGTTTCCATAAACTCGTTAGCAGTCTAAGTGTCAACGTTTTGCCCACAAAATGCAGTCAATTCACTTTACAGTATATTCTGTGAAGCGCTTTGCGACGTCTCAACAATGTGATAAGGCGCTATATCAATGCAAAGATTATTATTAACATTCAGTATTCAAAGTGGTTAACACACTGACAAACTATACCCATAGAAACACAATGTTAATCAGTAAAACAAATAGTTAGTTTGCATTTTTGAGAGACTGAAGGAAACGACACTGGATAATTGTGCAATAAAACCAAACAGATGCAGGAAACATACGGAAGATCAGCCTCTGAAAGATAAAGATGATTCAGATCTGAAAAAACATTAACCTTTCATCTTTGTTCTGTCAGACTAAGCTCTGATGAAGGTCACACATGAAACATTAACCTATTTTTTTTCCTCTTTCATACGCTGATCAACCCTCTGAAGTTTCCACTTTTACTCTGATCGAATGGATTATAAGGGCCCCGATTATAGGGCAGTTTCTAAACGCTTAGAAATGCTGATATAAATAGAATACATTTAGCAACTGTATTTTTACGGTTAGAAATGTCACTAGCTATTATAAGCATTTCTTCCACTCAACAACGACAACTTGCATTTACCCAGCGCCCTTCACACGGGGTAGGGTCCCAGAGCGCTTGACAAGGGCAGAGTCTGACCCTGAGCCAGGTGCGGGGAGGGGGTGACCGTAAGCACCATCAAAATGGTCTTCAGGCAGGATTTGAAGGTGGGGAGGGAGGTGGTAAGGTGCAGGGATTGAGGGAGAAAGCCCCAGGGCGTAGTGGGCTCCGATGGCGGAGCGGAGGGGAGGAGGAACAAACGGGAGGCTGGAGCCAGCCGAGTGGAGGCAGCGGGCGGTGGAGTGGGCGGAAGGGGTAGGGAGGGAAGTCGGAAGGCATTGAAAATGAGTGAGAGGATCTTGAAATTGAAACTATACACGTTCACCAGTGTATGTGTATGTGTGTGGTGTGTGTGTGTGTGAGAGTGTGTGTGTGAGAGTGTGTGAGAGTGAGTGCGCGGAAATGGAGAGAATATTTCAAAATGCAATCTTTCAGCAATGACTACACAATCCAGACCAGTTGCTTTACTGTTGCATCAAGTCATTATTAAAGAACGTGCAGTCACTCTCATTTCAAAATTAAGGTATTACCAGACTCATTACTTCTGCTTTTTAAAAATATATAATGTGTGCGCACATATTTCCGTTTCATTTTTAACTTTGCTTGAATAGTTTGCCCACACAAATATTCCCTTGGAGCAGAGAGAGCGTGGGAAGAGAATTAACATAACCCATAACTCAGGCCAGTTCAGTTCCTGCTATGAATGAAATCACCACTTCATCACAACACTGCGTTGCAATAATAACTTGATATAGCACCTTATCACGTTGTTCAGACACCTCTAAATGTTTCACAGGATATACTATAAAGTGTAGTGACAGTATTTTCTGGGTGAAATGCACAGCCAATTGCACACAGCAGTGTCCCACAAACAGTCATGGATTGAGCGACCAAATTATTATTAATTTTTTTGATTATTACCCCCAGAAAAGCGAACCGTTAATCGACCTCAACCGGGTTCCCACTTACTGCTGGTAAAGAGAGGCATGTGGAGAAGGAAACTTGCTTAAGGTTTCGCCCTGTCCTGCCCCACCCGGGAATCAAACCCAGGTCCTCTCACTTGCGAGACAAGTGCTCTAACCACTAACCTACAGGACTTCCTTAACACTATATGGTAAGGGATCTGTCTTCGGTCCCAGTTCTGACATTACTACAAATCGGCACAATATCAGATACACCAGCAAAGGACACTAACCTGTTTTAGAGACGTTTCACTTGTACCAGACACAGAAAGCTCTATATCTGTTTGGACTCCAACTGAATACTGCTCACACCTGCCAGCAAACACAATGTGATATCAGTGTCATTTGCATGTTTCAGCTTAAATAATGAGCTGAAGATGGTATTCAAGCAAAACTGTAGGAGGATCTTCAACTCTGAACACGAGGAGATTGATTTCACATGAGAACCACAGACACTTTGCATTTGGACAGGTTTGTGCATAATGTAGTTATTATCCAACCCATCAGACTGATTAACAAATTAGAATGGAAATCATAGCAGAGCGTAAACCCTACATGTCAGCATTCGCCAAGGCCCCTTTATATGAAAGAACATGGTTTGCATTGCAAAGTTTGGTTGACTAGTCAAAGCAATGGATGTTTTGAATTGGCTTCTGGCACTGACATCCCGTGCTATGCATCAGCCCATAAGTGCGAGTCCCAAAGGGCTAGTTTCTGCTCACTCAGGTCACGGACCGTTCATGTTATAATATTAATAATAATTTTTGCCAACCTGCGCCTAACCATTGAGACGTCTCAATGCTCGTTACAGGGTATACTGAGAAGTGAATTGACCGTATATTTTGTGGGCGAAACATGGCAGCCAATTGCGCACAGCAGCGTCCCACAAACAGCCGTGGATTGAGTGCCCAATTTATTTAGTTATTCATTTTTGAAGGGATTGTTACCCCAAGAAAACAAACTGTAGGGTAAGGAAATTTGCCTCAGGTTTCACCCTGCCCGGAAATCGAGTCAGTGAGGTGAGTCACCACTAAGCTACAAGATTCCACATGTTTAACTCCACACACAAAAGAAATAGCGACTTTACCCAGACTTGTTGAATTGTTCATTTGCTGACATCTCTGGATTTTGCCACTCCACGTTGTCAGATTTGGGGTAAGATTCTAGTGTATTTACTGCACAACAACTCCCATTGCAGAAACATGGATAAAAGTTTGGAAGCTCCAAAGTTAAGGCATCTGTCAGAGAAAACAAATATTAACAATTCAGTACATAAGTTATTTTCTTAATCCCAATAAAATGCAACTTTTTAATCCCTACAACGGGGTTTAATATGCAGAATATTCCTGAATAAATTTGATCTCCATTATCTCCAAGGCATGGAAATGGCATTCCAACTTAATCTACTTGGGGGATAAATTTCTACAGGTTCTTTGACATCAGGACATAATATTCAAATTATTAATAATAATCCTTGCATTTGATACAGCGCCTTATCACGTCTTCGGGATGTCTCAAAGCCATTCATAGAATATACTGTAAAGTGACTGTATATTTTGTGAGTGAAACGTGGCAGCCAATTGCACACAGCAGTTGGCTCACAAACCGTCGTGGATTGAGTGACCCAAATTTTTGTTATTTATTTATTAAAAGGGATTGTTACCGCCTGGAAGGCGATCATTCAAGTTGACTAACAACTGGGTTCCTACTTTTTTGTTTATCTTTCAGTAAAAAAAAAACTGAAATCATTTACACAGTAAATTGCAGAACTATCTCTTTGCTTACCCAGCAATGGTGTATAGCAGCTCAGGGCTCCCAGCTTACAAATTGTGCCTTGATGAGTCGATGGGAAAAGATAAGCACAATTCCGTCCTACATCTTGAGAAGCTCCTTCTGACCATAATCTTTTGCTGCAAATTCCCCTCTGCTGTAAGATGACGAGTGATTACTCAAAGCACAACTGATAACACAACCTTACTGGACACTAGTTCACAAAGTTATTTCTTCTTTGCCCAGCTGGGTGTCTGACAAGTGTGGAAATCCATCACCATTACTTAAGAGTTTCCAAACCAAACTGAGAATTCCACGAATGCCACTTACACATGGAAATCTCAGAGAGAGATTGTTGGAATGGAATGAGCTCTCTCTCTCTCTCTCTCTCTCTCTCTCTCCCCCCACCCCAGAGGGATGCATCTTGTTTACCCAATTCCAGAAAGTATGAGGTGCAGGTTGGCAAAAGGCAAAGCTTGGAGACCCCAGAACGTGCGTTGGGGTAACTGCCGGAGTCTGACCGCTAAAGAAATAAGTTAATGACTAAACATTTACTCAGACAGCAGCACTCATGGCTTCTAGAAGGAACAACCACAAATTATAAACCAATAAGATTTGGGGAGATTAGATATTGTGCAATAATCTGAAAAGGCATCAGATACTTCTGTTGAAGTGTCATTGATTCCAGGAAGTCTTCTTATTTCCCCTCCAAAAAAAGCTTTCTGAAACTCCCATCGAATTTAGGATGTAAACGTGGATTAAGAAAATATTACTAGTGTTATTAACAATATATTCCTTGCATTTGGATATAGTGCCTTTCCTGTCAGATGGACGTCTCAAAATGCTTCAAAGCATATAGTGTAAAGTGTAGTGACTGTGTATTTGTGGGGGAAACGAACCTCAAACCACAGAAAATGACAACTGAAAAAGCGCGTTTCAACAACAGATATATTTTTACCCGAGGACTGTGACCTTAGCTTTAGAGGATTATATCTTGCAATGGTGGTTTCTGCTCATAAGTATCATTAGATATGACTTGCCTAATACTTCTGGTGTTAAGTTTCCTTACAAGAGTTTCACTTGAACCTTTGGAACTCCATCCCACAGTCCCTTTCCCTCACCCCCTCCCTTCCCTCCTTCAAGGCCCGTCTCAAGACCCTCCTCTTCGACTGCGCCTTCGATCACCCTCCTACCCCCACCCTCCCTGCCCTCCACCCCTCCTGATCCCAACCCCCAGCTCGGGTCCAAACCCCTGACTGTCCAGCGCCTTGGGAAGTCCTCCCAACATGAAAGGCACTCTGTAAATGTCATTTGTTGCTGTTGTTGAACATGAAAATGTATTTGAACCAAATAAAGAATTTTAAATCTAATTTGTTCAGTACATTATTCACATGTTCCTCTACTTTCCAATTCAGTATAAGTGAGGTCGAAAGTGCAAATCTGCAGCTTGGCAAATGTCCATCTCCCCAAAAATCAACACACAACCTATTCAAATTTTACTGTTTGGCTTTTATGACAGCAGAGATCAAGATTTTTCCACTTTGTGTAGCTGCTGGCAATTCGTACTCTCCGAGCCAAATCCAAACATCATTGGTAACAGCAGACAGCAAGTCTCAAACAGCAAATAACCAGTTCTTTTAAACAAGTCAGCAGACTTATAAAATGTCAAAATACAGCAGTTATTTTTTAAAATTTAATTTATTTTACAGAGCTATCCAACTAGATCCACTCCCTCACTCTTTTCCCATAGTCCTGCAATTTTTTTTCCTTTTCAAGTACCTATCCAATTCCCCTTAAGGTTTCGTCCTGTCCTGCCCCAAGCTATTATCGAACCTGCTTCCACTGACCCTTTCAGGCAGTGCATTCCAGACCATAACAACTCTCTGAGTAAAAACATTCTCCTGGTCTCCCTTCTGTGTTTTTTGCCAATTATCTTAAATCTGTGACCTCTGGTTACCGACCCACCCGCCAGAGGAAACAGTTTCTCCCTGTCTACTCTATCAAAACCCCTCAGAATTTTGAACAATTCTATTAAATCTCCTCTCAACGTTCTCTGCTCTGAGGAAACCAATCCCATCCTCTCAAGTGTCTCCACATAACTGAAGTCCCTCATCCCTGGTATCATTGTTGTAAATCTCCTCTACACCCTCTCCAAGGCCCTGACCTCCTTCCTAAAGTGTGGTGCCCAGAATCGGAGCCAATACTCTACTCAGGCCTAACTAGCGGTTCGTAATATACAGCCAGGACCTACAGCGATATACAGCCAGGACCTACAGCGATATACAGCCAGGACCTACAGCGATATACAGCCAGGACCTACAGCGATATACAGCCTACAGCGATATACAGCCAGGACCTACAGCGATATACAGCCAGGATCTACAGCGATATACAGCCAGGATCTACAGCGATATACAGCCAGGACCTACAGCGATATACAGCCAGGACCTACAGCGATACACACACAGCCAGGACTTACAGCGATATATTTGAAGTATAACTGCACTCAATGTAGCATCAAGTCTTTCAACATCACTGTGCATCAGCGCGAGTCATACCAGCTGTATTTTGTAATGCCCCATTTCAACATCACGAGGACTATTTTAAAGTAATACCAATATCCTGGTATCTCTTTGATATAGTTGGGAGAACATCTCAAAGCGTTTCACAAAATATACTGTAAAGTGCAGTAACTGCATTTGCATAAGCAAACACTGCAGACAAATTGTGCACAGCAATGTCCCACAAACAGCCATGAGGTGAGTGACCAGTTTTATTTGGTGGGGGGGGGAGAGATTTCTGGCCCTTTCAACTCCCTTCTCTTTTTGAATGGAGACATGGGATCTTTAACGTCCAACTGAATAGGCAGGTGGGACCTTGGTTTAACGAGAATATTTCTAGTACCACACAGTGACAATTCTATGGGGAGGGGGAAATGCATCATGTTATGTGATAATTATTACATAGTGCATTTTCACTCCCAGATCTAATACTATTTAACATTGTAAGAAGGGAACTGGCCATTACCTGCCGCTGCAAAGCACAAGACTCCTCTTTGTAAAGCTTCTTTAATGATTGAATGGTTTCTGTGTGGGGAAAGAGGAGGTAAATTATTATTGGGAAACACAACTCACAATAGGCTCTGTTCAGCTTTGAGTTCATCTTATTTGAAGGCATTTGGCTTTGCAGTTCCACACAGCAGTAAGTTCACATATATATACAGATTTGGGAAAGTCACATAGAAACTTACCGAATAAATAATAATCCTTGCATTTGATATAGCACCTTATCAGACGTCTCAAAGCGCTCCACAGAATATACTGTAAAGTGAATTGACTGTATTTTGCAGGCAAAATAAAGCATCTAAATTAAAACTTTTTCTAAAGTGTTTAGCTAGATTTCCATAAAGGTCGATTAGATAATAGATGCATTATTTTCTATCATTACAACAAATAATTTTGTGCATGAGCAGAGAGAGGGATTATCTGGTAGATTAACCCTTCCAACAAAACATGGTTAATATTAATAATAATCCTTGCATTTGATATAGAGCCTTACCACAACTTCGAGACGTCTCAAAGCGCTTCACAGAATATACTGTAAAGTAAATTGAATGTATATTTTGCGGGGGAAACGCGGCAGCCAATTACGCACAGCAGCGTCCCACAAACAGTTGTGGTTTAAGTGACCAAATTATTCTTTTTATAAAAATTGAAATATTGAGGACTTTATGTACCCATCCCTTCATTTAACCCCACTCACACAGGCCTCTCCCTCACACCCCCAAAAAAAATGTCAAGTTACAATTGATTTACATACGATACATCCATGATGGAGGGGGAAGTTTCATTATACAAAATAAACCTATTTGCATGCGGCTTTCATAAGCGATGACTACATGATAGGCAAAGTGGTTCCTCATTGACTAAAGACATCTCCCCTCCAGCTGGAACAACTCACATTAAGAACATAAGGATTTGCTGACAAGAGTTCAAGGTCTATCCAGTTTGCCTTCCTCCATCCTGGCAGTCACTTGACGTGATGCGTCCCAGACTATATTGTTGAGGAGAGGCACCAACTAAGAGAGTATCAACATCTACAATAATAATCCTTGCATTTGATACAGCGCCTTATCACCTCGTTGAGCCGTCTCAAAGTGCTTCACAGAATATACTGTAAAGTGAATTGACTGTGTATTTTGTGGGTGAAACGCGGCAGCAAAATTGTACACGGCAGCGTCCCGTGGGTTGAGTCACCAAATTTTAATTAATTTATTTTTTGGAAGGACTATTACCTCCGGAAAAGCAATCTGCCAATCGACTAACAACCAGGTTCCTATTTACTGCTCGGTAAACAGAGGTGCGTAGAGTAAGGAAACTTGCCTTAGGTTTCGCCCTGCCAGGAATCGAACCCGGGTCCTCTCGCTTGTGAGGCAAATGCTCTAACCAACACACTACAGGATTCCACATAGTCCAACAAAAGTCTCAACTGTTCAAGCCTCTCCACACAACTATAACCTGTTAATCTATTATGCGTTCACATGGTGATTGACCCACGAGAGATTGTCAGCATTTCTGTTTTGTTTTGAGTTTAAATCTTTATTCCTCTATATTCCTAAATTCCCAGAACCTGAAAGCAATTTACATTAAAAAAAATTAAATTTCTCCTCTTATTATATGCAGCATTGATTAATTAAGGGAGGTTAAAATGTAAATAAAACTAGTTTAAGACTGTGCTCACTTAATCCGAGTCAAATTTGCAGAAGAATTCATTATTGTAATGGCCAGACTATCTGGAACAATTCGAGAAAGAAACATCACATTTCCTTTGTTCAGTTGCACAGTTGCGGCACATTCAGGAACGTGGAAAGGGAAATGAGAAGCAAAAGCGAACGTTTCAGAACAAAAGCTCGACAGGTCAGTTTTCGCACCGTACTGTACTTACTTTGTTGCCGGTTTAGGGTTAGTTTAAGCGTTTTGGTGGAGTCTGATAAAGCATTATTTATGGCCCGCAGGTTCCGTTTTTCAGTGACAGCTTCCTTCAGTTCTTGCTGCACGACTTCACTTTCTTTCCAGGCAGAGAGACAGGCTTCCTTGTCAATCATCTGAATAAAGTTCACAAAGAATAGTTAATTGTGTGTTTCTGCTCATATAGTTTCAGCTTCACTGGTAAGATAGACCGCTTATTTGGTCACAACATCGATTGATCTGTTTGTGTGGCTTAGTGTTCAACAAAACAGTTTTGACCTATTTTAAAAAACATATAATATATATATATATATACATACACACACTGTTGTGGAGACATTTCAGAAACAGTTACCAAGTCTATGGTTACAAAACGATAAAAATATACAAGCTGCCTTAAAAAACAATCCGTGACAACCCACCCACACTCTCCTCCCACACAAACTTTTACTTCCTTTAATATTCAAGCCCAAAGAACTCCAAAACAGAAGAGCTTAAGAGAGAGCGTATTCTTCACTCCCTCGACCACATTGAAAAAAAACCCACAACCCTCCCCAAACCTGCGTGCGCGAGAACACGGTGAAGATTGGGAAACAGCCCTTACCTGTTTGTGCATCTTCTCGCCGCGTTGGGGAGCTTCTTGTATCTCGACTAACCTTTCCTCAGCCAAACGCTTTTGAGTTTCGAGTTCACGCAATCTATGGAACAAGCAGACACACAAACAGCGCAACACACAAGCTGATAAGTGACATTTAAGTGTAACCACATCAGGGTGTCTGTGTGCAAACCCCACACCTAAAGGCTCCTCATCCACATGAACAACACCTTGTCATGACTTTTGACATTGAGCCATCGCTCTCTCCCTCTCTCACGCGCACTCTCTCTCCGGCTCATACTTCAATGAAAGAAAAACTACAGAAATAGCGGTAATCCTTGTGATCTATTGAGATACATGTTATGAATATTTCAGTGAACAAGCAACAACAACTTGCATTTATGTAGCGCCCTCCAAGCTGGGCGGAGTCCCGAGCGCTGTAAACCCTTGAAATGTAATCACCATCTTGTATAATTTTGGTTCAAAAGATACTTTTAGTCCATTGACGGCTCCAGAGAATGTTGTACTTCCTGGACCAGCCTCCAGCAAGTTCTCACACCATTTATTTCACCTTTAATGTGGTCTTATTTGCGAGGTTTGCAAAGCAACATGCAAACAGTTGAAAAGTGATTTAACATTTTATATGTATATATATATATAAATAAATGTAAGCAGGCCCCAAAAGCAAAATGTCTGGGGTTTTTCCTCACAGGCTTTGGTCACCTTTAAGCATTTGCAATTCTAAGTCTGTAAAAATTGTAAATTAAATGGCTGGAAGTCAAAAACCAGGACTTGCAAATAGTGTTTCACCTGCAAAATACTTTACAGTGTATCCCGTGAAGCGCTTTGAGACGTCTCAGCCACGTGATAAAGCCCTAAATCAAATGCAAGAATGATTATTATTAATAATAATATTATTATTATTGATAAATAGGGTGGGCCAGATGAAATGGACGGAGGGGAGGGCCGGATGCGGCCCGTGGGCCGCCAGTTGGACCACCCAGAGTCAAAGCATCAGAAGCTTCACTACCCGTGGTGGAGGAGTCACGTGATGTACAACTGGTCAACTGATCAGATCGGTTCAGATGAAGAAGGCCTTTCAGCCCATTTGATCTTGTTCTTCTGGAACATAACCTACTCTACAATCCTCGGCCTCTGCCCCCTCCCCCGCCCCCCAAAAGTTATTTAGAAAAAGGTTGTTTTTTTTTGCATTGTCACCTGGTGGCTTGTTTCTTCTTCCAGTGAAGTTCCTCAGTCCTGCTTCTCCTAAAGTTACTAGCCAGTGTCACGTATTCCTGATCCACCGTCAGCTTCAGTTGCACCAGGACCTGGAGGTTCTGAAGCCACAAGTTGCTTTTTTCCTGTAGGCTCTTTAGAAGCTTAAACGAGACAAAGGGAAGCGGATGTTTAGCGATGACGATGTAACAAGACTTGTGCACCTTTACACTGGAATGTAGAGTGGAGAGCACTGTAATCCACAAGAGTATATGTTTAATGGCATAAAGCAAATCTCATTCTTAGCAATGACCAATGAAGATTGTTAGCACAGCACAGTCATAAGAACATAAGAATTACTAAACAAAAGTCCATCCAGTTGGCTTTCCAGCATCCCGGCATTCACTAGGCATGTGTCCAAACTATATACTGAAATCTACCTCAATGGCATTTGAAAGAATTGACACTTTCTGTTTCCATCATCTCCATAGGGAATCTGTTCCATACCTAATAATAATCCTTGCATTTGATACAGCGCCTTATCACCAAAGAAGAGTAATAATGTCATTAATAACTGCATTCCAAAAAACAAATACAAATTGAAAATAGTACTTAAGGCTACATTTCTATATTTGTTTGCTCCATCTCTTCCCTATCCTGACACAGAGCAACAGCGAGACAGGAGAGAGAGAGGAGAGAGGAAAAAAAAGGAGAAAGAAAAAAGAGAGAGAATCTGGACTTTGAGCTATTTTCATGCAAAAGTGTTTTTTGGCAAGTTGACTAACAACAGAAATAGAACAGTTGACGCAAACTAAAACGTTTGGATTGGAAGAGAAGCACCTAAATAGCCTTGAATTTCTCTCCCACCTTTTGCAAACCACAAATTCACCACTGAAATCACTACAGCATTTGAGTTTTCATCTGAACGGGAGAATTAAACCTATTTAAAGGCCACAGTGGCTGAGATTGAAATCATTCCGTTTGCACAATTTCAAGTGCTCTGGGACGCTACCCTGCGTGAGGGGCGCTATATAAATGCAAGTTATTGTTGTTGTCCCACTTCTTCTCACAGCAAAGGGCAATGATAATAATCCTCGCCTTTAAATATAGCACCTTTTTGCCTCGGGAGATTGTCTCAAATCACTTTGCGGGATTGATTGCAAAGTGTAGTGACTGGCTATTTTGTAGGCAAACAGGCCAGTCAATTTGTGCAAAGGATTTTAGAGGAAACTGCAGAAGTCTGTGTACGTGACCACTCACCAACTAACTGGTTGAAAATAACTGGTTGTTTGGTGTGCGCGGAGGGGGGAGAAACAAGCACTAGTCTGATATCTAACAGCAAGATTGATCACCGTTCACTCAAGTTGAAGCAGTTCCAGTCATACTGTAGCCAGCAAAGCATAAATAGTCAACAACGACAACAACAGATGCCATTTACACAGAACCTTCCATGTCAGGAGAATGTCTCAAGGCGCTGGACAGTCAGGGATTTGTACCCGAACTGGGGGTTGGGATCAGGAGGGGTGTAGGGCAGAGAGGGTGGGGGTAAGAGAGTGACCGAAGGCGTTGTCGAAGAAGAAGATCTTGAGACGGGCCTTGAATGAGGACCAGAATCCAACGGACACCACTTTTAGCTAAATTGATGTAGCCCCCAGCCTGACGATGCCACAATTATTGCAGTAAATTCAGGAAACTGGTGCATAACAGCACAAATCTTTCAGGCTTTTCTTTTTTCATATAAAAAAAACTTTAATCTTACGAACAACGGGGTGAAAAATGTGATGTTGAATTAAATATGCTAATTATATCTTCCCACGCAAAGCTTTGTGCAAAGGTCAGCTCACAGGCTTGTCTATTTTGCAGAAACCATCTCAAACCACAGTGTATCACGTACACAGTGGTTTAAGTAATTTGAAATGTCACATTTCCAAAATACTCACATTAACGTCTGGTCAGTTTCATTGACATACAGTAAGTACAATGTGATCAGAACATAGTCATGTTAACAGACACGGCAGCAAACTGTCCCCTGGTTTGTTTTCTATATAATGAGGTACAAGAGTTGGAGAATTTCAGTGCGATTGTTTCCGTGCCTTCCCAAATTACGTTGGTAAAATTCAGTCTGTGTATGTTGATCTGGGTTGGCGCGTGCGCCTGCATTCCGCAGATTTGCAGTAAAATACCAAATCTTTCGTGCTCGCAGATTGCTTTTGGTTGATATCTAACAGAAGTATTGATAACACTATGAGTTCTTCCTACACCCACCACAACACACAGCCCCCCCCCATTACACACACAGCCCCCCCCACCATTACACACACAGCCCCCCCACCACCACAACACACAGCCTCCCCCACCACCACACAGCCCCCCCACTACACACACACAGCCCCCCCCACCACTCAACCCCCCCCCCACCCCACAACCCCCCACCACAAAATCCCCAGTACACACACCCCCACGCACGGACGCACCCCCCCTCTCCCACCCGCCCACCCACACACACACACACACACCACCCCCACCCCCCTACCTCCCCCCCCCCAGAATATACTGTAAAGTGGAGTATTTTGGGGGTGAAATAGAATGCAACGCAACATGTGAAAACGTAACCGATGACACGAATTCACAACCCAATTTTTTTTGTTATTAATAGTCAGTTGGAGACCTGGTTAAAACCGCCCTCCTGCTTTTACCTTAAGCCGTACCACACATACGCAATGCTCTGCCACTTCAAAAGCTTGAAACATAGCATCTTGTAGAAACACAACAGTTCCTGTCGCTTACCTCAACTTTAGCCTCATTCAGATCTTTGCAACTCCTCTCTGATTCAGCTATTTGTCTCAGCCAAGAGCTCAACGCTGTCATTTCTTCAGAGAGCTCCTTTGTCTATAAAGTGAATCAACACATAAAGACTTCAACAAAAAACAACACATGATGTTTACACAGAACCTGCCTTTCACGTCGGGAAGACGTCCCAAGGCGCTGGACATTCAGGGACTTGGACCCGAGCTGGGGATTGGGATCGGGAAGGGGGTGGAGGGCGGGGAGGGTGTGTGGGGGGGAGGGGGAGGAGGGTGACAGAAGGCGCGGTGGAAGAGGAGGGTCTTGAGAAGGGTCTTCAAGGAAGTTCCAAAGCGTAGGCAGAGAGGCTGAGAGTTTGCACTGTTTTTTTTAATAATTAAGATGTGACAGACTTACCATCCGTGTTATAATCCGTTTGAAGTCTGCCGTGGTTTGCTGTGGGCCTGGAGGCTGCAGTAACAGCTGTACCTCCTTGTCCAGAGCGGTGTCGAGGAAGACCGAGCTACTGAACCATTCCGAAGTATCAAGCTGGTTAAAGAAAAAGTCAAGGGACTTAAAAGCATAGTTGCGAAGTTTTGAGTTCATGTTATATAAAAAGATAAGATGAAAAATATGTTAAAAAGTTTCACCCACAAAGGAAAGTCACTCCACTTTACAGTATATCCTGTGAAGCTCTTTGAGATGCCTCAATGACGTTATAAGGGACTATATCAAATGCAAGGATTATTATTATTATAGACTGGGATTCCCAGATTAATCTTCTAGGGCCCTTATAAACTATACCATTGTAATTTACAGTTATAGCACTTTTAATTTCAGGAGGATGTCATCACTTGGACTGGAAATCCATCTTTTTTCCACCTCTCACACATATAGACAGATTAAGCTGAGCCAGACATCAATCTACATACCTCAGGAAAATGTTGAGCGAATAACAGTTCAGACTGCAAGGAATCTGTTAGTCCAGTCATCTCAGGGCTGTCTTTAAATACCATCCGGGAATGTGTACATCCACTGTGAAGGGGAAGACAAAATATGTGGAGTTCTGTAGCTCAGTGGTTAGAGCACTCGCCTCGCAAGCAAGAGGACCGCGTTCGATTCCCGAGCCAGATGAAACCTTCGGCAAGTTTCTTTACTCCACACTCCTGTTTACTTAGCAGAAAGTAGGAACCCGCTTGTTAATCGATTGACAGATCGCTTTTCCAAGGCTAATAAACCCTTAATAAATAAATTGTGCCCAATTGGATGCCGCCCACAAAATATAGAGTCAACCCACTTTACAATATATTCTGTGAAGTGCTTTGAGATGTCTCAACGACGTGATAAGGCGCTGTATCAAATGCAAGGATTATGATTATCATTATTCAGGGCAACGGAGTGCAAATGAATAGAGCAAGTTATCTCCCTTAAAATCACTGCAATTTTAGTGTATGTCAAGAACATTACTCACGTGGCTAGTTCCTGTTGCATAAGTAACATCTGATTTTCTAAATTATTCTTCTCTGTTCTCAAGGCCTGGAAAATTGCAGTACAGGCATTTGGACATGTATTGTAAGCATTTTTTTATGAATTTGTTTAAAAAAAATAGGATTTTACCTCGATAATTAAGGAATATTCTTCAATGGCACTTGTAAGTTCCCCAACTTGGCTGTTCTTCTGCAGAAATAAAGACATGGAGTTCAGTATATTTAGTTAGTAACTTTGCCAAATCACACCTAATCCTATGTTTTGCGAGTTACGTAAATGCAAATTATTTTTCTGATCAAGACAAATTCTTATTAAGCCCAATTCTTTCTATGACAGTTCTTTTGGAGAATAACTTGGGAATTTAAAGTGCAGAAGGTTATGTCAGCTGATCCCTTGATTTTAAAAGCCAACAAAACTGCTGTATCATTGGAATTTTGACTTGACCCAGTTTTGAAGCCAATGTAGATCAAGTTTTCAAAAAATGACCCTAGAGAACAGTACTGACCTTATTCAATGTTGCTTCTTTCTTATGAATCTGGCCTTTAAAATCATTCAACTGCATCTTGAGGGGGAAATCAATAATGTTCATTGGGAGCATTGAATAGTGCAAGTCATACCAGAGTCATGTTTGCATGTGTATGCCTCCTACAGTCAATGCCAAAAGCTGGTTAATGCATTAAAACTCACATAAGTCTCATCTTTATGAATCGTATAATCACCCAAGTCATACATCCACCCAAGGCCCAATCAGCCCTATCAAAACCAATTAAATTTCTTTGTATAAACTTAATTTCTTTTCAAGTATCTATCTAATAAACTTAAATGTTTTCAAAAAGCAAGTCTATGTGACAACATACTTTGCTGCAAAACAAGAATCTAGCACAAATTTTTGAGTAACTGCACCATCAGGAGGTTGGTTGAGTAGCGTTACTTACATCGAGTTTCTCCTTATCATCAGTTAGCACAGCAATCCTCTTATGTAGATCATCCATCTCTATTGCATTCCCAATATTCTGTAATAAAGACACAACACGTATCATTTATACCAAGGAATGTAACTTCATTTTAAAGTGATTAATTTTAGGGCTCTTTATCCCCCAGTTTCAAGGAGCGCTCCAGTGGTCGTATTGTACCAATAATAATAATAATCCTTGCATTTGATAGTTTTTTCTGGGCTGGGCCCTTGCTGTTTAAGAAACAATTTCCGTCTCAGTGGCTTATTTGGTGCATTTCTTCAACTAGGTAAACAAGCTGCTTGTTTCAGACACGTATGAACACATATGAACACGATCTCGTCCTTCCAGCCAACTTCAGCACAGTACACCTCACGCAATATACGCTCAATTCGCTTTGCAGTATATTCTGTGAAGCGCTTTGAGACATCTCGAGGATGTTCAACCAAAATAGGGCCATTTGACATGCCAAGAATTGGCCCAATATTCCGCATCTGGTAAAATGCAAAGCAGCAGATTTCAAAAACATTTGGTGTCTATATAAGTGTAGGTCAAGTCAGTTCATAGCTTCCACTTCCACTTCCCCATATGAATGGGAGATTTTCATGAACTATCCATTTACAAATCTATCAAATATCTTTGACCAGAGGACAGAGATTTATTTAAGATAATTGGCAAAAGAACCAGAGGGGAGACAAGGAGAATTATTTTATATATAGATATATATATATAATATATATATATATATATTGCCATATTTGGAATGCGTTGCCTGAAAGGGAGATGGAAATAGATTCGATAATAATTTTCAAAACCGGAATTGAATATGTACTTGAAAATAAATTTTGCCCACCTCTTCCTGAAGCGAACCAATCTGAGATATTAGAGATTGATTGTCCTTTGCCTAAAAGGAAACGAGGGAGTATTAGTGAGGTTCCATTCAACTAGAAACTGTCTACAGATGAAATGCCTTTACATGAGCCTTTGACACACAAGATTTACCATCTGTTTATTCTGAAGCAAAAGCTTTTCACTTCGATCTTCCAAGTGGCTCATATTTGCCTTCATTTCTTCCAGTTCTTCTTTCAGTGACTTTTCTTTTAACACAGACTGCTGGGCGCTGTTTAAAAATAAAACACTTAGCAAAGGTTGAGTATTTGAAATATTAATAATCCTTGCATTTGATATCGTGCCTTATCACGTTGTTGAGACGTCCCAAAGCGCTTCACAGGATATACTGTAAAGTGGATTCACTGTGTATTCTGTGAATGAAACGCGGAAGCCAATCACGCACAGCAGTGTCCCACAAACAGTCGTGGATTGAGTGAGCAAACTCTTATTTTTTTTGGAAGGGATTATTATCCCCAGAAAGTGATCTGGCAATCGACAAACAACTGGGTTCCTACTTACTGCGAGGTAAACAGAGACGTCTGGAGTAAGGAAACCTGCCCAATGTTTCGTCCCGCCTGGGAATTGAACCCGGGTTCCTCTTGCTTGCGAGAAGAGTGCTCTAACCACTGAGCTACCGGACTCCATGATTACTATTGGAGTGGATCAGTGTGAACTTTCTGTATCTAATCAATGCCCCCACATTGATGGTGTTGGCTACAGAATGTGGAAGTGCCATTATCTCAGTTCCATGACTGACTGGCTTCAACTCTATGAGCAACAAGTTATTTTGAACTAAACAAATATCTCCCTTTTACCTTTTGATCTGGTTCTGCAGCTCTTCCGTTCCTTCCATCAGTCGGTGATTGGTTTCCTCCATGGCGTCCACTGTCAACCTTAACTTACAGTTCTGTTCCTGAAGCTTGTGGTTGTTGTACTGAAGGTCAGCAATGCAAGATATCAAGTCTGACGACTCCCTGATTTGAGAGATGGCATGGGTTTGTAAAAACAGACAACAACAACGTGCATTTATATAGCCTCCCTCATGCAGGGTTGCATCCCAGAGCGCTAGTGACACCTACTGACCTCATGGGCTGTCACTACATGAGAAAGTTTGGACTAATAATAATAATCCTTGCATTTGATACAGCGCCTCATCACGTCATTGAGACGTCTCAAAGCCCTTCACAGAACACACTGTAAAGTGAATTGACTGTATATTTGTGGGCGAACGCGGCAGCCAATTGCGCACAGCAGCGTCCGACAAACAGCCGTGGATTGAGTGACCTATTTATTTATTTATTTATTTGGAAGGGATTATTATCCCCAGAAAAGTGATCCGACAATCGACCAACAACCGGGTTCCTACTCACTGCTGGTGAACAGAGGCGTGTGGGGTAAGGAAACTTGCCTGAGGTTTCGAGTGTGAGGTGAATGTGAGTCGAGTGCTCTAACCACTCGCTACAGGACTCCACAGTAAAGTGCAATTTAGTAGATAAACAATGAAAAAAACTAATTCTCGGTTTAATTAAATGTTACCTACAGGGGTAAACATTTTTTTTAAAAAAAGGCAATTACTTACAGGTCTCCTTTGGAAATTTCCCCACCAAATGCCTCCAGACTTCCGGCTGTTCCATTCATTGCATCAGAAAGTTTAATTCCTACCAAAACAATTTTGCAGGTTAGGTATTACACTGTTAGACAGCAAAACAGGCCCCAATGACAGCAAATTGCATTTACACAGCCCCTTCATGTCGTTTGGGGTCAGGAGTGGGGAGGATAAGAGGGCGGCTGAAAGCGCGGTCAAAGAGGAGGGTCTTGAGACGGGTCTTGAAGGAGGTGAGGGAGGGAGGGAGTGAGGTGAAGTGACTGCGGGATGGAGTTCCAAAGGCTGGGGGCAGAGAAGCTGAAGGCCTGACCACCGATGGTGGGCTTGCCCAGGGAGATGTGTAGCGGAGGGAGAGGACAGGTCTATATGGAGTCCTGTGGCTCAGTGGTTAGAGCACTCGCCTTGCAAACGAGACGACCTGGGTTCAATTCCCGGGCAGGACGAAACCTTGGGCAAGTTTCCTTACTCCACACACACGCACACCTGATAATACTCCCTCAAGAAAATAACAATAATAAATTGGTCACTTCAATTCACGATGGTTTGTGGGACGCTGCTGTGTGCAATTGGCTGTCGCGTTTCACCCACAAATATACGGTCAATCCACTTTACAGTCTATTCTGTGAAGCGCTTTGAGACGTCGAGAAGACGAGAAAAGCGCTATATCAAATGCAAGGATTATTATTATGATTATACGGAGTTAACAGGTCACAGAGCTTGGAAAGAGCAAGACCGTGGAGGGCTTTGAAGGCGAGGATGTGGATTGTGAACTCAATCCTCCGGAGGATGGGGAGCCAGTGGAGCCGGGCGAGGGTGGGGGTGATAGGGTCATGGAGTCTGGTGCAGGAGAGGACAGAACAGGACACCGACAGAAGTGACTGTAAAAAGGGCTATCTCTGAATTTAACCCTAGGGTTGAGGGAACAAAAAGGCTACAAAAGATTGTTTTACTTTTATTTTAAAAAAGTGCACATTAAATGTGTAGAAAAAGAACATAACCTGGCACGAGTCCATCTTGAATGTTGACAGCATCTTCAATCGGATTTATAACTTCAGGCGTCTCCTCATGAATGCTATGGACGTGCACACGGAAAGGAAATTAGCCGAGACAACAAAATCAATTTCCTTTCCCCCAACAGAATTTTTCTTCCGTCTGTAATATTTAACAAATGCTGCAGCCAATTGCGCACAGCAGTGTCCCACAATCAGTCATGGATTGAGTGACCAAATTATTTTTTTTTTTGAAGCAATGGAAAGCAATCCGCCAATCGACTAACAACCAGTCCCCTACTTACTGCGGGGTAAGCCGAGGCGTGTGGGGTAAGGAAATTTGCCCAAGCTATTGCCCTGCCCGGGAATCGAACCCAGGTCCTCTCACTTGCGAGGCGAGTGCTTTAAATAATACACCGCAGAACTGCATAACCTATAATAAAACCTATAATAAATTATAATTGTTCAGCAACAATTCACTCCCTTGTGATTCCTGCCACTGCACACGTTATTGACACAGAGAGTGGACAGTGACCCTTCAACAGGTTTGTTAGAAATGGTCAGCTCAGAGGCACAGGGATCAAGTGGTGAAAGATCAACCTTCTATCTCCAGCCCCGGGGCAGCTTCATCATAACACCGACTGCCAAGTGGGCAAACCATAAGCTAAATACACATCCTGTCATGTGGTGCAGTACATCAATGCTTTGTCACCTTCAGACAGTTTATTAGCTGGAGATGATGAAGAACAACATAGAGCAAGACTAACGGAATTTCACACATCCGAACCCACTCAAACTATCTCGTCCTTCCAGCCAACTTCAGCACAGTACACCTCACGCAATATACGCTCAATTCGCTTTGCAGTATATTCTGTGAAGTGCTTTGAGACATCTTGAGGATGTGATGAGGTCCTGTCAAATGCAAGGATTATCATTATTAATAATAATATTAATATTATGTTGTTAGCAATCAATCCCATCCTGCCATGGAGCCAGAGGAGAATATCAGTCACTACTACTTGAGGTCAGACAAAGGTTCAAAGGCCTTCTGCCACTCTGCCCCCACCCTCTGGAACTCCATCCCACAGTCCCTCCGTCTCGCCCCCTCCCTTGCCTCCTTCAAGACCCATCTCAAGACCCTTCTCATCGACTGTGCTTTAGATCACCCTCCTTTCCCCCTCCCCCCCCACCCACTACCCTCCACCCTCCCCGACCCCCAGCTTGGGTCAGAAACACTGACTGTCCAGCGCCTTGGGATGTCCTCCTGATGTGAAAGGTGCTATACATATGCAATTTTGTTGCTGCTGTTGTTGTTGTTGTTGGTGAAGCCTGTAGACTGTTGGGATCACTAATGTATAATCAGGATTATTGGTTACCTTTTCCTTCTACATTCCTCAATCCACTCTTTCATGACGGCATGATACGTATCCAGATCAATGGAGATATCTTGGTTATTGGGATCCAGCATGTTACACAGATCCTCAAGGCCACTGTCCTCTGAGCTACGGCTTGTGGTGTGTCTCAGGTAGTCAACTATCTTGGAAACAGCCACTTTACCTGCGGTAAAGCAATGCATTAAAAGCCTTTTTAGCATCGTTAGAAATGTAAAAACAATGTCCCTTTGCCTCACCCCTTCCCTCGTCTCTTTCAACACCTGCCTGAAGGCTCTCCTCTTCGACCAGTCACCCTCCTACCCCCACCCTCCCTGTCCTCCACTCCTCCCGATCCCGGACCCCAGCTCGGGTCTGAAACACCGACTGTCCAGTGCCTTGGGACGTTCTCTCGACGTGAAAGGTGCCGTATGAATATCATTTGTCGTTGTTATTGTTGCTAAATGTTGCTCTGTAGTACAATAATGAAATGATCTGCTTTACCTTGATGTGTTATGTCACAAGCATGAAAGATCGTGTCTAGCAGGTCTTCCTCAGTAATCAAGCTCATATCTTCAGGAGTTTCCAAGTGGCTAACATCAGTTACTTCGGGAAAAAAAAGTAAGAGTTTGAAGAAAACATGCATAGCTTTAATTAGATTATTGCCCATTGCTGTGCAGCCTTAGTTTAATGCAACGAGCTCCATGTACCTGCACGTCCCAGTTAAATGTTAACCTTCCTTTATTTAATAATATTAACACTTGCATTTGATATAACGCCTTATCACGACTTTGAGACGTCTCAAAGAGCTTCACAGGATATACTATAAAGTGAATTGACTGTATATTTTGTGGGCGAAACGCAACAGTCAATTGCGCACAGCAGCGCTCCACAAAAAGTCGTGGATTGAGTTACTATTTTTTTTGAGAAGGGATTATTATCCCAACCGCTAATCGACTAACAACCGGGTTCCTACTTGCTGCTTGGTAAACAGAGACGTGTGGAGTAGAGGTAAGTAGGAACCCAGTAGTAATAATCCCTCCAAAAAAGAAAAAAATGGTCACTCAATCCACGAGTGTTCATGGGACACTGCTGAGGGCAATTGACTGCTGTGCTTCACCCACAAAATACATAGTTAATCTACTTCATAGTATACTCTGTGAAGTGCTTTGAGACATGAAAAGGCGTTATATGAAATGCAAGGATTATTATTTTAAGTAGAGTACAATTAGAGTGTATTATTGTCAAATAGGAGAATTCATGATCAGTTCACAGAAATCTTGAATATACACGAATACAAACCTCTCCCTTTAAGAAACTTACGATTGGTCTCAGGCACAGTGACTTGTCTGACTTCAGGGGACTGAGGTCTATGTAGGTGGGTGCAGATGCTCAAGTTGGTTGAACGAACAGGACTCGAGACATCGCTGTTGCCGGCTCTGGTTAGTATGCGGTGCTCGATATTAATAAGGGCTGAACAGGGGTAGCTCAGCTCCTCTCCGCTGTCGGGAACCGGTGTGGAGCAATTCTGAGTCCTGCAGTAAGGCCACGAGTTAGAGGCAGTCTCTTCGATGGAAGTAACGACTTTGAAAGTGGAGCCGGCACTGGAAGCCCTTTCTCCCGGAGTGCTGAGCCTCCGCTGTGAGCCGGGCAGGGTCTCAGGAGAAAAGGGACAGTTCGTGGCAGCGGATCGCACATCCTGGTTAAAGTTTTGCCTTTTGACTGTTCGGTTCCTCAGAACCACCTCCATGTTCTTCTTGAGGTTAGTCTGCGGGCTGTCAAAGTTTCTCAACTGAAATTTAGGAATCTGCAACGTGGGGTTCACCTCCTTGTCCCTCATCTGAATGTTTCGGATTTTTCGGCAGATGCTGTCCACTGGGTTATGTCTCCTGCTGCTCATGGCTCTGGTCAACAGATCCACCCTCTCACACAAACATCTGGATTCATGGATAAGGACATGGAAAACTATCACTGCACCATAGAGGGGTGTATTGCACAAGAAATACAATATTTTACCGAGAGGTCAGGCAGCACAATTCCAACCTCGAAAGGATAGTTTTTAACCAATAACTAAAACATTAAAGCAGAGAAAGTAACTACAAATGAAGTGCTTCACAACAACAACAACTTGTATTTATATAGCATCCCCTCACGCAGGGAAGCGCTTGACAGTGGCAGAGCACGACGCTGGGCTCAGGGGAGGTGACCGTAAGCACGATCGAAGAGGAAGGTCTTCAGGCACGACCTGCAGAGGTTTGGGGCGTAGCGGCTGAAAGCGCGGCCACCAATGGTGGAGCGGAGGGCACGAGGAACAAGCAGGAGGCCAGAGCCAGTTGAGTGGAGGCAGTGGGTAGTGGGTTGGGGAATAAGCAGGTCGGAGAGGTGGGGAGGGAGGTGCCAGGGCATGAAGACAACTTCGAATGAATACTAAGACATGGATATATACTAAGATTTTATTTTTCTCCCCCACCTTTGGCTAGAAAATATTTCACAATATTAGTGGAGTCCTGTAGCTCAGTGGTTAGAGCACTCGCTTTGCGAGCGAGAGACCTGAGTTCAATTCCCGGCAGAGGGCGAAACCTTGGGCAAGTTTCCTTACTCCACACAGAGCCTAATAATAATCCCTCCAAAACCAAAGCAATAATAAATTGGTCATTTTCATCCCCCACTGTTTGTGGGACATTGCTGTGCGCAATTGGCTGCTGCGTTCGCCCACAAATATACAGTCAATTCACTTTATAGTCTATTCTGTGAAGCGCTTTGAGACGTCGAGAAGACGCGAAAAGCACTATATCAAATGCAAGGATTATTATTATAAAATAACTATCACACCAGTTTATAAAATTGTAGTCCAATATTTATCAGTAAATATTACATCACATTAAAATAATTACATTTTAATTGGAGCATTTCAGGGCCGTTTTCTTTCGCGTTTATCAAACGTTAGGCTTCTAAGATCCCACAAAATATAAATAAAGCAGAATTCTTCACAGAAAAATCTAAACTATTTCGCGCTCCAGCGGTTGTAAGTACGGGAACCGCAGGAGACAATTTCTTTGGCAAACTGACATGCAGCAGAACTTTGAAAACAATGCGTTTAAGTTGTTTAAAAAAAAAGGAAACACGTATTATGTTCCCCGCTGATATATCTGTGAAGCGCTTTGGGACGTCCTCCCGACGTGAAAAGCGCTATATCAAATGCAAGGATTATTATGATTATTATTATTATACAGAAATAGAAATAGAATCCTCATTTGAAAAAAGTATTCCTTGGGTTAACAGGTTTAAGCCAGTTTCTGTGCCTTTCCAACTCACCTGCACAGGTTTCACCTGGAGTTAAAGAGCCACTTGTAAGCAATTTAAACGACGCGCCATAACCACGTCACGTCACTCCTCCCACTGCGGCCGCTCATTGGACCGGAGCGACACTGCCCGGTGCGCCGCCTGGTGGCGGAAGGCGGGCGCTGCCACTTCTCTCGGCACAGGAAAGGAAATGGGAAAGGAAATTCGACCTCCGCTACCGACAACAGCAACAACATACGCTCAGCGGGACGCGAATAATTGTGTCTTTTCCAAAGGGGCAACCCCGTCGGAATGAATAACTGAATAATTAAATGGATCAGTGAATAAAAGACGAGTAGATACAAAACAGTGAATTGTGTATTTATTTATCTCGCTTCACAGCAACAACAAGCACAAGAGTACAAGTGGACAGCGCCTTTCACGTCGGTTGGACGTCCCAAGGCGCTGGACAGTGTACAGCATTTCGGACCCGAGCTGGGGTCAGGGGGGGAGGGGAGGGGAAGGGTTTTGAGGCGGGACTTGCAGGAGACTAAGGAGGGGGTGAGGCGGAGTGACTGAGGGATGGAGTTCCAGAGATTGGGGGCAGAGTGGCTGAAGGCTCTCCCGCCAATGGTGGGGCGGGTGGGTCGGGGGACGTGGAGCAGCCGGAGCGGCTGAGCGGAGGGAACGGGCGGGTTAGTCAGGGGTTAGGAGGTCACAGAGGTAGGGTGGGGCGAGGCCATGGAGGGCTTTGTAGGTGAGGACCAGGATCTTGAACTGGATCCTCTGAAGGATAGGGAGCCAATGGAGTCGGGAGAGAGTGGGGAGATGGGGTCATGGAGTTTGGTGCGGGAGAGGACACGGGCTGCAGAATTAGTTCTGGATTATCTGCAGCTGTGGAGGGAGGAGTTGGGAAGGCGGACAAGCAGTTTGCATAGTCGAGTCTGGAGGTGATGAAGGCACGAACAAGAGTTTCAGCGCCTGAGGGGTGAGGTAGTGGCAGAGTCGGGCGATGTTATGGAGTTGAGGAAAGGCAGAGCAGGTCATTTATATTATTATATAAATAATAATAATTCTTGTATTTGATATAGTGCACAATTGACTGCTGCGTTTCGCCCCTAAAATATACAGTCAATTCATTTTAAAATATATTCTGTGCTTGATGCTTGATCACAATGTTACAGCCAGGGTTAGACAGTGGGGTGGGTTTTGGGGCACATTTCCACATGTATGCGGACAACACCCAACTCTATTTTTCTACCTCTCTATGTGCCCCCCAGTCCCCTGATGTTCTGTCAGCTGCCTGTCAGACCTCAGGAGCTGGATGATCGCAAATTTCCTTCAGCTGAACGTTGACAAGACGGAAGCCATACTCTTTGGCTCTCGTCAACGTCTAAAATCTCAAGGTTCTCACCTCCTCCACCTGCCCGACCTCCCCCTAAACCTCTCCGAACCCATATGCAACCTAGGTGTCAGGTTCGACCCCCAATTATCCTTCCTCCCCCACATCCGGTCCCTCACCAGCACCGCCTTCTGCCACCTCCGACGCATCGCCTGTCTCCGCCAATACCTCTCTCCGAAAGCCGCTGAAACTCTGGTTCATGCCTTTGTCACCTGTTGGCTGGACTACTCTAACGCCCTCCTCACCGGTCTCCCATCCACCACCATTCACAAAATCCAGATTATTCAAAACTCTGCCGCCCGCATTCTCACCCGCACCAAACTCCGCTGTCTGATCCCCCCAGTCCTGGACAGACTGCACTGGCTCCTGTCCAAGTGGGGATCGACTTCAAGGTCCTCACCCTTGTCTTCAAATCCCTCCACTCCTCTGCACGCCCCGACCTCTCTGACCTCCTCTCTCCTCAGCACAGTACCCGTTGCCTCCGTTCCCCGGGACTGGCCTCCTCCTCGTCCCCCGAGTCCTCCGCTCCACCCTCGGCGGCCGTGCCTTCAGCCACTATGGAACTCTGGAGGCTCTGGAACTCCGTTCCTCATTCCCTTCGTCTCGCCCCCTCTCTTCCTATTTTCAGGTCCCTGCTGAAGATCTTTCTTTTTGACCGCGCCTTTGGTCACGTTCCCCCCACCCCCCCACGGCTCCTCCCCCTCCCCCTGGCTTGGCCCCGGGATCCGTTACTGTGAGGCGCTCTGAGACGCCGTGGAGGGCGCTATATAAATCTGATTTGTTGTTGTTGTTGCTACATGATCACAGTGATTACAGTAAAACTCCCTTACAAAGTCTGATTGTTTCGCCCACAAAACATATAGTCAACTCACTTTACAGTGTATCCTGTGAAGCGCTTTGAGACGTCCAGGAGACATGATAAGACGCTATATCAAATGCAAAGATTATTATTATTATCATTCGCCTCGCTCCCTCCCTCGCCTCCTTCAAGGCCGGTCTGTCTCAGACCCTCCTCTTCGATCGTGCCTTCGGTCGCCCTCCCACCTCTCTGCCTTCTCTCACCCCTACCCCACCCCTCCCCCATGCTCGGGTCCTGACCCCTGACTGTCCAGCGCCTTGGGACGTCCTCCCAACGTGACAGGCGCTCTATAAGTGTCATGTTGTCGTTGTTATTATTATCTGTATAAATCGTATAATTGCCTAAGTCTTACATCTGCCCAAGTCTTGTGGAAATTCCTACAACACATGGAATCTTCACATCACTCATACGTGGCGTAAATCATATTAAATGTATGGTCCGGACTGCAACAAAAACAACAACTTGCATTTACACAGCGCCCGACACGTGGGTTAAGGTCCCAAAGCGCTTGACGGTGGTGGAGCCTGACAACAAACCGGATATGAGTAATACCATAACACGTATGTGATTTTACTGTGTCCCACTTAGTATTTCTCTTTAGCAGCAGATGGCGTGTGCGCCAGATGTGCTTTGTCTGGAGAGTATATTGAAACAGTCTGCTTTTAAGCTTGACTTTTCCCTACATACATACACACAGACACACACACACACACACACACAGAAACCATTCTTGTTTGATGGGTTGTGGCAGGATTTACATTGTGAAAGAAAGCCAATTCCCCCTTTTTTTTTGGAGGCTGATGCAATAAGGGTAAATATTGGCTCCAGCAATGAGCAAATCAAACACACAAACCGATTTGTACTGAAATGACTCTAAAGACCTGGATGATTGCATACAGACACCACAGACACTCACAGCTACAGGAAGTCTCTGCTCATTTCAGCTGCTTATTTGAAGCTGTGTTGAGCACAGTGACTGCTCTCTGATTTTTTTTTAACACGAGATTTCAAGACAGCAACAACTGAGTAAACGTGGCTGGATTGAATTGATTGCCTTGTGAAGTATGCAGGTAAGATGACCCTCTTTCATTCTCCTAGCACACACAGAAAGAGGGGGAGAGAGAGGGCTTGATCTCAATGTTACAGCCAGGGTGGGTTTTGCAAACCTGCCTTTTAATTTAGAATAAAATTAAAGACAGCTGCTTCATGTATTAAAATGTGTAATTGAAGCTTTGCAGCATTTAAGGTGTGTGTCAATGTTTCACTCTATTTTTTTCCTGTGTAAAGAGTTGGTAATGTGTTTTTTTTTGCCTTTATACATCGATGGTACATGTACAGGTCACAATGAGGAAGCATTTTCCCTCTGTGGTCCACACAATAGCTCCCCCACCTCTCTCCTCTCCCCTTCCCCAGGACTGTATGAGCAGCATCTCTCCTCTGCTGCTGTGAATCCCTACACAGCCCACCTGGCTCATAGGCAGAACCTGGAAGGACAGACCAGTCACTGGGGGCAGGGAGTCATCTCACTCAGCTCCTGATATAATAATAATAATCCTTGCATTTGATACAGAGCCTTATCACATCTTCGAGACGTCTCAAAGCGCTTCACAGAATACACTGTAAATAAGTCAATCAAATACTAGTCTGAAAGTAGCCCAACATTATACTTTCCCTACTGTGGCGATGCATAATATTGGGCTACTTGATGCAGCAGTGACCCACACACAGTCGTGGATTGAGTGACCAAGTGACATTATTATTCAATCCATGACTGTTTGTGGGACACTGCTGTGCGCAATTGGCTGCCGCGTAATTCACTTCACAATATATTCTGTGAGACGTCTCGAAGACGTGATAAGGCGCTATATCAAAGGCAAGGATTGTTATTATTATAATTATTATTGTTAATCTTATTACTATGGGTGACAGAGTGCCCACTTTAGGTGAGTGCTTTTGAAACTGTATAAGAAAAAGTGTCTTCAAGGAGGGAAAAAAACATTTTGCAAGTTTAATTTTTTCTTTAAAATTAGGCACTCGCCCAAAGCCATTTTTTCAGGTTTTTCTGGTGCTTTGGCCAACAATCCCCCAAATAAAGCTTGCCATTCATATCATGAATGTTTGTGGGACATTGTGGCTGCATTGGCCTATACAATACAGTCCCTACACTTTCCAGCGCATCTTGTGAACTCCAGAAGGAAACTCCCTTCTCCTTTGCTTGATTGTGTTACGAGGTCAAATTACAGATGGGGCATTGCGATACGTATAAATGAAACAAAAGGTATCCTTTGTATGACATGAAAATTTGCCAGACAGCGATATCAATGGGAAGCTATGAGGTTTTAGCTGGTTAGACTCCAGCAGTTACCCCAACGCACACTCTGGGCTCCCCCCAAGCCTTGGCTCTTGCCAACCTGTGCCTTAATATCTGGAATTAGGTAAACAGGATGAGTCCCTCCAGAGAGAGAGAGAGAGAGAGCGCATTCCATTCCAGCAATCTCTCTCTGGGATTTCCATGTGTAGGTGGGAAGCCTGGAATTCTCAGTTGGGTTTGGAGACTCTAAAAAAATGGTGATGGGTTTAATATATAAACGTTGCAAAACCTAGTTGGGAGGATGTGACATCAGCGCATTTATGGATGTGGTCCCCTATGAAAGGAATTCTGTCAGGGGAACATTAAGGACTTGGAGTCTTGATGTGGAGTCAAAAATTCCGGAATTATTCTTGAAATTTATGAAATTCAATCTGAAATTCCACTTGCTGATTTAATTTACATAATTAACACAACACATGACCAGAATCTCACTCGTAGTTGTTTTTTTTTGACTGATGCGTGTATTCTGGCAGGCACTCATATCAGTAAGACAAATGTAGGAGGTGAACTGTATAGTGGCGGGTCTGAGGACAGATTAGAAGAAAGTAGGTCATAAAACAGGAATAACAGGACAGAACATGAGAGAGAGAGAAGAGTGAGAGAGGGTGGTGGTGGAAGCAGGTTAATGATGGTTGATCTGCTGTAAGCCGGCTGCGTAATACGCCGTAAATCTGTAATGTGCAACACATTTATCATGGCGAATGTTGGAGCTTCTCCTCATACAGGTCACTGCCATTCGGACAAGGTAATGTGGGAGTAATTTGCCCGCGCTCTCTGCCTGCGTAGCAGAACTGTGGCTAATGAATGGGTTTCCTTCAATTCACCGAGCTTCACGTTACAAAGTGAACGGAGCTGTATGTTTGTCTCCAAGGTCACTAAGTTATTATAGAGTCGATGTGTTATTGCCAGCCCTGGCTGTATTTGTATTTGCTTTTATTTTTAAATGACATTGAACTAGAACAATATTACACAATCTATTTGCCATTCAAAATATGATTCGTGTTAACCCTTGTGTCGATAGCATTAGCCCTGCCATCTTAGTTTTTATGTATTTCAGTTTTCGGTCAAAACAACCCTGTCAAATCTTTGGCTTGTAAAGTTTTCATTGTAAAACACACAATCACTCCACATCACAGTATATTCTGTGAAGCACTTTGCGACGTCTCAACGACGTGATTAGGTGCTATATCAAATGCAAGGATTATTATTATTATTCTACAAATTCGGTTTTAAGCGCTTTGAGATGCTGCTCCGTGCGAAGGGCGCTATGTACCAATGCAAGTTTTTGAATAGTGCTCAGCCCTTGAATTGAATTGCGTCCCCTTCAAGTGGACTGACTGTGTGTCTTGTGGGCGAAATGTGGCAGCCAATTGCGCACAGGAGCGTCCCACAAACTGCTGGGTAAACAGAGGTGTGTGGAATAAGGAAACTTGCCTAAGGTTTCGCTCTGCCCAGGAATCGAATCCGGGTCCTCTCGCTTGCGAGGCGAGTGCTCTAACCACTACGCTACAGGAAGGTTGAAATCCAAGTAGATGAAGACTTGAGATAAATTTGGCAAGGGCCTGAGGTATTTTAGAAATGGGTGCGAATGTTATTTTAATTTCAATGAGTGGGATTATTTCGGTTTAAACTGATCTTTTTCTGGTGCTGTGATCATTATCTAGGGCTTCAAACATGAGACTGCTGGGGGCTGCTCAGGACCTGGTGTTGACAGTTTTAAGGTATGTTTTCTTTCATTGGAATCAGTCTTCTTAATATGTTAGTATCTTAATATATGTTACCTTAATATGTTGGCGAAAGAAGGTCAAGGTCCATCCAGTTCGCCTTCCACCACCATCCTGGCAGTCAATTGACATGTTGTGTCCCAGACTATATACTGTATCCCCAGATACTGTTTCCTAACAGAAATCCATCTCATTTGTTCTTAAAAGAATCAACACTTTCTGCTTCCACCATCTGTCTGTCTCCTCAGGGGGTCTGTTCCATACGTTCACTGCTCGCTCACTGAAGTAGTGTTTCCACAGATTGGTTCTGAATTTACCCCATTATTAATCTGTTGCAGAAGTCTGCTGTTGAACTCCGTGGGTTATTAATACCAATTCATTCCTGTTTGGAATTCCAGTCATGTGCGCTGTGTGGCTGTGACCAATTCATGTTACTTTTTATAGCCGTCGCCAGATGTCAGGAGAATAACCTTCCTTGCAAACAATCGCTTTCAATTTCTGCTCTTCCTATTCCCAGTATTGAGAGATCTGGTGTCAATATTTCATGAAGGCACATTCCTAGATTGGGAAGAGGTTTTACCAATAGCACTTCCCTTTTCAGTGTAATAATAATGATAATAATCATTGCATTTAATGCAGCGCCTTATCATGTTGTTTAGACATCTCAAAGCGCTTCACGGGATATACTGTAAAGTGAATTGACTGTGTATTTTGTGGGTGAAACACGGAAGCCAATTGCACACAGCAGCGTCCCACAAGCAGCTGTGGATTCAGTGACAAAATTCTTCTGATTTTTTTTGAATGGATTATTACCCCTGGAAAAATGATCCATCAATCGACTAACATCCAGTTTCATCCTTACTGCTGGATAAACAGAGTAAGGAAACTCTCCCAACATTTCGTCCTGCCGGGAATCAAACCCAAGTCCTCTCGCTTGTGAGGCGAATGCTCTAACCACTGAGCTACAGGACTCCACGTATTACAATATCTGGACTCACTCGCCAATTTGACTGCCTCCCCCTTCAGGATTTTGCACTCTGTTCCCATAGGGAGGATTCCTTGTATTTCCCTGGAGTTCTAAATCGCTCACTGACTTTAAAAGCATGACTGACTTGAGATGGTTCTATCTTAACATGAAATGAATTAATATTTATTGGCTGCCCCGTGTTGACCACAACATATACAGTCAATTCACTTCACAACAACAAACAACACGGGTGACATTTACACAGCGTCTTTCACGTTGGGAGGACGTCCCAAGGCGCTGGACAGTCAGGGATTTGGACTATATAGTATATTCTGTGAGGCGCTTTGAGGTGATAAGGCGTTATATCAAATGCAAGGATTATTATAATTATTATTATTATGGGGACTGTCTGCATTTTGTCCTCTTGATTTTGTGTGTAATATTTATTGCTGGTTTCTGTGAAAGTTGCCTCTGGAAACGTTAACAGAGCAAAAGTACTTTGATGCTTATCTTTTGCATCCAGCTGCGTTTTACTGAAACATGGACAAGATTAAAATGATTCGAGCCAAATTTTTGATAGGCCTATAAATAATGGCTTTAATGTTGTTGGATTTTGTACTAACTCTTGTGGGCTAGCGCTAGAGAGGCTTTAAAGTGGACACAGATCACTGGTTGCAGTGATAAGAACATAAGAAATGCTAGACAAAAAAAATCACGGTCCATCCAGTTCGCCTTCCACCTTCCTGGCGGTCGCAGGCACATATGTCCTGAACTCCCTATATACTGTATCCCATAATGTTATTTCAAAAAGAAAACTATCTAATCTGTGTTTGTGGGAATCAACATTTCCTGCTTCAACCGCCTCCCTAGATTCAAATTGTTAAACAGGTTCAAAACTATTAAAGAACCATAACCGGATATTCGGCTTTATAAATAGGGGCATAGAATACAAAAGTCAGGAGGTTATGCTGAATATTTATAAAATGCTGGTTAGGCCTCAGTTGGAGACTGTGTTCAGTTCTGGGCACCGCACTTTAGGAAAGATGTCAGGGCATTGGAGAGGGTGCAAAGGAGGTTTACCCGATGGTACCAGGAATGATGGACCTTAGTTATGAGGAGAGGTTAGCTAAACTATGATACTCTCCCTAGAGCAGAGAAGATTAAGAGGGGATTTAATAGAGATTTTCAAGTTCATGAGAGGATTTAGGTTGAACCCAGAAAAACTGTTCGCACTGGCATGTGGGTCAGTTACCTGAGGACACCGATTTAAGATATTGTTAAAAGAACCAGAGAGGAGGTGAGGAAAAATGTTTTCACCAGCGAGTTGTTGGGATCTGGAATGCATTACCTGAAAGGGTGGTGGAAGCCGAATTAATAACAACATTTAAGAGAGAAGTAGATGGGTATTTGGGGAAGACAGGATTGCAGGGCTATGGTGAGAAAGCGGGCCAGTGGGATTGAGTTGGAAGCTCTTTTAGGAGCTGGCGCAGACGCGATGGGCCGAATGGCCTCTTTCTGTGCTGGATGATTCTATGAAATAGTGTTTGCGTAGATTCATTCTGAATTTACTCGCCTTCAATGGCAGCTCGTGTCCTCTGGTTTTACTATTCTGGACAAGTGATGGTTGACTCCCGTATAAATGGCCTGGGAATTTTAGCTGGAAGCCCCTGCATGTTATATTGTACGAACAGTTAATGGTTCACTGGAAGTTTCAGATGGATTGACAACAACAATGAGATTCACACAGCGCCTTTCACGTCGGGAGGACGTCTCAAGGCGCTGGGCTGGACAGTCAGGGGTTTGGACCCGAGCTGGGGGTTGGGATCAGGGATGGTGGCCGAAGGCACGGTCGAAGAGGAGGGTCTTGACACAGGCCTTGATGGAGGCGAGGGAGGAGGCAAGGCAAGGGGACTGTGGGATGGAGTTCCAAAGGGTGGGGGCAGATACAGTATTAGCTTCAGATATACAACTTTGTGTTTATTCTTGCAAAAGCAAAGCAGTCGGGTTTACCGCTTCTCTATTTTGGTGCAAAAAATAGCTGTCGAATTTCCCAAATCGCAGCCCTCATTTATTCTTATAAACTTGTTTCTATAAATATTATGCTAAGAGAGACCTTTGCGCACACTCCTTCATGATTTAAAAATTCATTGAAATCAACACACCACTGATTTTTTTGATGACTGCGGTGACTGGGGCCATCCGTTTGCAGTAGAGTCAACTGTGCTTTATGTCTTCCAGCTGAATCCACCAACGTCTAAGTCGAAAGCTTTGCAAGCGATTTGATGAAAATGGGATTTGGCACATTTTGAAACAGCCTCGGGACATTGCTTAGCAATTTTGTTCTTGAATTGCACTATGAGGTGCCTCGTTCAGCAAAACCCATGATCTTATACTTTTAATAACAAGGGAATCAATCAATCAAAAAAAATTGTACAAAAACGTAGCATTTTTGAAAAAATGCTAATAATTTGGACGCCTCAAACCACGACTCTGTGTGGGACACTGCCGTGCGCAATTGGCTGCCGTGTTTCCCCCCCACAAAATACACACTCACTTGAAGATGTGATAAGGCGCTATATCAAATGTGAGGGTTGTTATTATGTTGATTACAAATGAACTTATCAGCAAAATTAATATCTACAAGCATAATCATTCTCCTGGACCCTGGGCTTGAACTCCTCTCCTTGAATCACAAGTGCTTGTGCTCTGAGTGTATGTTTTAGTAGTTTAACGCAATGTGTTGTGTTCTGCTGGGCGCTGCTCTATATAATCTGAGTAAGAATGTCAACCCGATGTGAATGATACAACTCAGAACACACAAACACGAAGGGTCATCAATGGCTTAAATAGTTGAATGGTCCGACTGTTCAATCATGTAATTAGGCATTGCGTTCCTGCTTTTTTTTTCTTGAATCCCGGGATTTGAGGGGATTTTAATGCCCCAAATCCCGGGATCCTGAGCTGCTAAATGTTTTCTTGGAAAAACGCCAGGGAATTCTGCCAAAGAGAGCTGGATAGGAACACTCCCTGAACCGGTCACTGACTCATCTTTGTCCCCACCTCTCCACTCCCTCCCCCTCCCTCCATCCCCACCCTCCTCAACAGCACAGCAGCCACACAGAGAAAGTCACAGAGACACATACAGATACTGAGAGGGAGATGCACAAACTACTACTAATAATCCTTGCATTTGATATCGCGCCTTAACACGTCTCTGAGACCCCTCAAAGCGCTTCACAGAAGACACAGTAAAGTGTAGTGACTGCATATCTTGTGGGCGAAACGTGGCAGCCAATTGCGCACAGCAGCGTCCCCACAGACAGCCGTGGATTGAGTGACTATTTTTTTTGGTGGGGTTGGAGTAAGGAAACCTGCCTAGGAATCGAACCCGGGGCCTCCCGCTTGGGGGGCGAGTGCTGTAACCACTACACTGCAGGACTCCACATTCTGAGACTTGCTTGAATTTATCCCTTGTTAGATCACTCGCTGCCTCCTGCGCTGCTGATCTGTTTCCTACTGAATGAAGAGAACTGATTGACCAGTCAATTATTTTCACAGCAGCTGTACAGGAAATAGCATCAATGACAGGTTTGTGGGTGACCGTGTCACGTGTTCTGTAACCGCCTTTACTGAGGCAAACAAACACTGCGGTAGGATTCGGCATTTCCTGGTTTCACCAACGCACATATAGACTTCATATTGCACTGGAATTAATGATATATAACAGGGGCATTTTTATTTATTTGCTTACTTTTTAATTCTAGTGAGATGGTCACTCGTTCATAACTTTCAAAAATACTGATCTATTTGTAATAGCTGGAAATGCCTGATGACAACTAACCACTCTCAATTAATCCACGCTTGACTGCTGAATAAACAGAAACACTGTATAGTCTGTAGGTATACAAATAATAATACTTTGGCCACTCAATCCATGAATGTTTTGCCGCCGCGTTTCACCCACAAATATACGGTCAATTCACTTTACAGTCTATTCTGTGAAGTGCTTTGAGACGCCGTGAAGACATGAAAAGCGCTATATCAAATGCAAGGATTATTATTATTATTATTATTATGGCTGTTTTAGCCAAACTGACTTGAGAAATTGCTGGGTTGCCAGCTCTTTCAAGAGATATTTAGACTGGAGCCACATAACCTTTCCCTTTACACGCTGGATCAGTAAATGTCCATATTTAGCAAATATCCAATAATTTTTAGTCACTGTCAAATCTCCGAAAAGAGAGCTAGCGTCATTCCAGTATTTGAGGTTAGTGCGGTGAGTGTTGAGTTTAAATCATATTTTTGATTGTTTTTGTGTCTCAACCACTTGATAAGGCGCTGTATCAAATGCAAGGATTTTTATTATAATGCACAGAAGCCCAGAAATTACTGGAGAGAAAGATCATTTGTGTTTAAAGTAATAACGTTTCAAGGGTTCAGATTGTAACGCCGCAAAACTCCCTGTGCCTCAACCCCAACATCAGAGTATGAAAGCACGTATCAGTGTCATATTTTGCTATACTCCCTTCTCGACATGTTCACGGCCTCTAAGTAATATTGCAGTTTAATTGCAATTTATATCAACTAACAAGTGCTTTTGTACGGCTGCCACTGATCCAGTAATAATAATAATAATATTAGAAAAATTAGGAATAATAATATCTGGCTCTGGCACCTAATACTTCCTGGCATTAGGTAAGCAGGATGAGGCCCTCCAGGGAGAGAGAGAGCGCATAAAAGTATACAGTTAAGTGAATTGACTGTACATTTTGTGGGAGAAATGTGGCAGTCAATTACGCACAGCAGTGTCCCACAAACATAATCCACAACTGTTTGTGAGACACTGCCGTGTGTAATTGGCTGCTGTGTTTCCCTCACAATCAATCTGCTTCAGTGAAAGCGCTTTGAGACGCCTCAACGATCTGATAAGCAACTATATCAAATGCAAGGATTCTTCTTCTTATCAAACTCAACCAAGTGTGGTACCCACAAGTTACATTATATTGAAACATGTCTGGAATAATTCAGGTTTTCTTTGTTTGTTGGGGAAAAAAGCATAAAAACGGAAAGTTTATAATTGTTTTATCGTTTTCTTTTGGTGCAAAAATATTGGCACATAATTCATTAATTTTCATAAGCCCTCCAAAAAAAAATGTGGTCACTCAGTCCACGGCTGTTTGTGGGGACGCTGCTTGTGTGCAATTGGCTGCCGCGTTTCGCCCACAAAATATCCTGTGAAGCGCTTTGAGACGTCTCGAAGACTTAATAAGGCGAGATATTAAATCCAAAAGATTATTATTATTATTATTAAAAACTCAAGTTGATGTTTCTTAATCTTAATCTCATTCTATTTATCTCGGAGGTGGCGGATCTTGAAATCGAGCTGGTTAAGGCTGGAGCAGAGAAGCCTGACGAGAACACTTTGGGGTTTGGGACTGTGTTTACCGACCACATGCTGATGATAAACTGGTCTGAGCGTGGAGGTTGGGAGAAGCCACACATACGGCCTTTACAGAACCTCTCTCTGCACCCGGCCGCTTCAGCTCTGCATTACTCTGTGGAGGTCAGTTGTTGTCTTTTCTTTCTGCTTTTGTTCACTTTCACAGGAGCTAAAAGAGTTTTACTTTCAATTCATTCACTAATTTAGCAGTGAGTAGGAACCAGGTTGTTGGTCGGTTGGCGGATCACTTTCCGGGTGTAATAGATCCCTCAAAAATAATTTGGTCACTCGATCCACAACTGTTTGTGGGGACGCTGCTGTGCGCAATTAGCTGCTGTGTTTCACCCACAAAATATACAGTCAATTCACTTTTACAGTAATACACATTATTATATTTTATTTATTTATTTTTTGAAGGGATTATTACCACCGGAAAGTGATCCGCCAATCGACTAACAACCGGGTTCCTACTTACTGCTTGTTAAACAGAGGCGTGTGAAGTAAGGAAACTTGCCCAACATTTTGCCCTGCCCGGGAATCAAACCCAGGTCCTCTCGCTTTTTGTGGCGAGTGCTCTAACCACTGAGCTACAGGACTTCACATATGTGTATATAGAGACTGAGAAAGGCTGGATTTTATTGCTGACTGACTGCAGAATGTGATCTGAGCCCCAGACAGTGTGTGAGATACAGTTGCCTTTATTCTAACCGTACCTTTGTGAGAAGTAAATAGGAACTGATTAGTGGTCACCTTTCCCTTCTCATGGGTGCCCTTCCCTGACACCCACTGGCAGCCTTCAATGGTAAGGACATATCTATGGAATTAATCAATGCTGCTATAGTGATAACCGCAGAAAATGACTTAGCAGCTAAATAATAACTGGTAGCTATTGCTTATAGATGTTACCACACAGGGGGAAATAGCTCCCAACAAGATTGCAATGTAATAAGTTTATATCGACGTGAATTATAATACCCATCTATAAGCACATTTCAATTAGTCGAATTATTGAGCAAATCAGATAGAGGGGGGGAATGCCACAGCGTATCTGTTTCTCAGACGCCCTATTGTCCTTTTGTTCTACTGTTTCACCTACAAAATACACAAGTCAATTCATTTTACGGTGTGTCCTGTGAAGCGCTTTGAGGCGTTTCAAAGACGTGATGAGGCGCTGTATCAAATGCAAAGATTACTGTTAGTGCATCCTACAGTAATGTTCTGGATTTACTTTATCAATTGCATTATATGCCTCTGTAAGGTCCCCTATGAGGACAACATCTTGTCTCAAGGCTGAGGAGCCCTAGCTTATCCAATAAGCTAAGAGGTTTAGGGCATTATAAACAACAACAACAACCTGCATTTATCTAGCGTCCCAAAGCGCTCGACTGTAGCAGAGCGTGACGCCAAGCCAGACCGTAGGCACAGGTCGGTCGAAGAGGAAGATGGGGAAGGAAGGGGCGAGGAGGAAGGATAAACCAATGAACCGCATTAGGAAGCTATAAGGAAGTGAGCTCTTGGTTGCTAACCCAACCCTCTGATATCTTGGTGGAGTCACTGACATCCTTGCCACACATTCTAACCGTAGTGAAAGAAACAGTTCAGAGCAGCCTCTGCTGGCTACAACCAGGTACAACAGCAGTCATCACGACAGATAAATCTCTTACATCGGATCACAGTAACCTGCAGGAATGGAAAAACAACTGCAGTCCATCTCCCCATCTTTATTTCAAATACATCCCCTGCATCTCAAGTCGGAAAGTTATGTGTTCAAGACCCCATGTTGTTAGTAACACAACAACTTGCATTTATATAGCGTTCAAACCCAGAGCTGTATCTAGGTCAAAACCAAGAGGTGACGAGATTAGCTGAAAACATGAAATGACTCCTTGGCGTGTGCTTTTTATCTCCTCAGTTGTTTGAAGGGCTGAAAGCGTATCGTGGAGTAGACGATAAGATTCGACTGTTCAGACCTATGCTGAACATGGAGAGGATGCTGAGGTCAGCCCACAGAACCTGTTTGCCTGTAAGTACATTCACATACCAGGGTTTTCTCATCGTACATCGTAACAAAGGGGTAGAGAATAACAGAATAACTCTGTGTTTTCATCCATTATACAATGCTTTCTCTGAAGATGGATGTGAAGCCACAGTTCAACTGGATCAGTTTATTGAGATCTTTTGTTTAGACCATATTTGTTGACATTTACAACCACATGCTATGTTGTTTATATTTAAAAATAGAGAAGAATGAATGTAAATTGCACCCTTCAGGTATAATGAGATGGTCAGCTCTCTCGCTATTCACTCTGACACAATCTTTAGAATGACTGAATACGCTTTCATAGTTAATACTATGTCAAACAATGAATATTATCTACAGCTAGTTAATAGCGTTGATGATGTTTTTCTAGCCAAGAACATAAGAACATAAGAATTCGCTAGATGAAAGAAGACCAAGGTCCATCCAGTTAACCTTCCACCATCCTGGCAGTCGCTTAAACAACTCATGTCCCAAACTATATACTGCATCCCCAGATATTATTTTCTAAAGGAAATCTATCTAATTTGTTCTTGAAAGGATCAACACTTTCTGCTTCTACCGTCTGTCTCCCTCGGGACCAGCTCTGTTCCATACGTTTGTCACTCGTTCACTGAAGTCGTGTTTCCGTAGGTTTGTTCTGGATTTACCCGCCTTCAATCGCGGGCCGTGTCCTCTGGTTCTACTGTTTCAACATGCTTTTCTGTTCCAGAGCTTTGATAAGGAGGAGTTGTTAAAGTGTATTATGAAACTGGTGGAAATAGACAAAGATTGGGTCCCAAACTCCACAACTACCAGTCTCTACATTCGCCCGACCTTTATTGGAACCGAGGTTAGCAAACCTGAACACTTACACGTGCACCCCTGAACATTACTGTGCGTTACTGTATGATTTGCATGTGATATAATTCAGTCAGAATTACCCTAGTAACTTCCCCAAAAGACCAATGAACTAATGGTGTTCAGAGTATATTTTTTGGGCAGTCTACCCTGCTATACCTCACCCATCCTTCACATGAGAGCTATGACAGTGAGGTGGGGCGAGGACTGGATTTATTTCATTGCTGAACTCCATTCTGCCATCGCTTGATATCTATGTTCAAGCATTTTAAAGCAAGGCTCACTAGGTAGTGCCGGAGATGTATAAGATCATGAAACTGAGCCACAAATACTGGAGGGTGTCCCAGGCACCTCGAGAGTTGACGTCAGATTTGAATTGTTTTACTTTAATATAAAATATTTAATTCGGAAACCAATTGCGGTCGGGAGGCAAACTGGATGGTTTTGCAGTTTAAAGCCTTTTATTTTTCATTTCCTTTGGCTTATGTGGTGTTAGGTTCTGGATTTCGTTTTGTTCTGATTGTAATTAATCTTATTTTGATCAAAGTCTTCGCTTGGAGTAAAGAAGTCCACCAAAGCCCTACTCTACGTGATCCTCAGTCCTGCTGCCTGTTACTTTGCGGAAGGCAATTTATCTGCTGTGTCACTGTGGGCAGATCCGAAGTATGTCCGAGCTTGGCATGGAGGAACCGGCGACTGTAAAATGGGAGGGTATGTAAATCACACTTACATTCTTCACTTAGAGATTAAGTGAAAGAGGCTTTTGAAGCCACAAAATTATACATTGGTTTGGTTGGAACAAACAATAACAAACTGCATTTATATAGCGCCCTTCGCACAGGGTAGCGTCCCAGAGCACTGGACATACGTTGTTGTCTAGGACTGACCGAGACTAACCCGGTTGTTAGTCGATTGGCAGATTGCTTTTCCAGGAGTAATAATTAAAACAATGATAATTCAGTCACTCAGTCCACGACTGTCTGTGGGACGCTGCTGTGCACAATTGGCTGCTGTGTTTCGCCCACAAAACACACAGTCAATTCACTTTACAGTGTATCCCGTGAAGCGCTATGAGACGTCTCGAAGACGTGATAAGGCGCGGTATCAAATGCCAGGATTATTATTATTATAAACCGACTATGTTATATAATTCGTTCTTCTTAGACTTCAGTTTTGTCACTGTGTGTGTGAGATGAGGCAGTTTACAAGCGCTGTATTTTAATTTGTAACACGGCAAAGGAAATTCAGCTCTTAGAGGGTTAAGAGCGAGGTCGCACAGCAGCCTGAACGCACGAACAGTGGTCACTGTCATCCGTTGAAACACGAGCATCAAAATGCTTAATCATTCGTTCATTAACTGGAGCGGAACAGCTGATCCTAATCACATTAAGGCTGTGCAGCCTCTCTGTCCCCCCCATTGACTGTTGGCTCCTGTCACGGCCTTCGTCTCCTCACTGACAGCTCACAGAGTACTCTTTGGTCAATTCAACTTCACACAATGTCCCACTGCATTCCTTTCTTGTACATTTTCTTCTCATTATCTTTGAATTATCTCTGTCTCATCCAAGGTTAGTCTTTCCCCCATCAGTAGCGGTCATCCTTAATGACGTTCTAATAACATGGACACAATAGAGACAATATGGCCAGTTTCGGAGAGGATAATGGGTTTAAAACTGCTTCAATTTACAACTTGGAACTACATCCTCATCTTGAGTAAAACCTACTGTACGAAGTAAGAATGAACACGGGATTGGATGTGTGTTTAGCTAGTTTTAGTGTGTTGCTTTATTGTTCTTAAGGCCTCTGGTTACACTGATGAGTGTGAATAAAATCCTCAACAACGACTTGTATTTACACAGCGTCCCTCACGCAGGGCAGTGTCCCAGAGTGCTGGACAGGGGAGAGCATGACACCGAGCCGGGGGAGGGGGGAGGTGACCGTAGGCACAGGTCGGTCGAAGAGGAAGGTCTTCAGGCGCGACCGGAAAATGGGGAAGGAAGGGGCGAGGCGGAGGGAGGGATAGAGGGAGAGAGTGACAGAGTTTTGGAGCATAGTGGCTGAAAGCGCAGCCCCGATGGTAGGGAGGAGGGCACGAGAAATGAGCAGGAGGCCAGAGCCAATCTTCATGGCTGGGCTGTGTATTAGATCTGTTAATACAGTTAATACAGGTTGAATACAGAGCCTAGCTTTGAAGATATAAATATGGTAATGCTATTCTTATCCACCTTTATCAGTAGGTAATGTGTCAAAAATACATTTAAGATAATCACCCCTTACTGCTCGGTAAACACAGGCGTGTGGAGGAAGGAAACTTGCGTAAGGTTTTGCTCTGCCCTGGAATCCAACCCAGATCTCCTCGTTTGCGAGGCGAGTGCTCTAACCACTGAGGTACATGACTCCATCCATATATGATGCACACCAATAAAACATATGCAGTAATTTAAGCCTATCTTCTCATTAGGATCATTTATAGATGCATCAACACCAATCCTATGTGTTATAAGCGTGGCCAGTGGATGGTGCTGCTGCTGCAGTGATGTTGGCTCGAGGAGCGATTCATTTAATATTCTTCGAAAGAAAATAATTACGTCTATCAACGCGCGAATTTCGCCTGAATTCGTTTAGCACTTGCCAAATTTGAAACAAAGTTAATGGTGTACGTTTCCGGGGGGCTAATAATCCCCCCCCCCCCCCCCCACCACCCACCAAAAAAAAACAATAATAATAATTTGGTCACTTCAACCCACGGCTGTTTGTGGGATGCTGCTGTGCGCAATTGGCTGTCGCGTTTCGCCCACAAATTATACAGTCAGTTCGCTTTACAGTATACTTTACAGTATACACGTTACAAATATGGCAGCCGATTTGCGCACAGAATAAGTCGAGGTAGGAGTTAACTTTCAGAGCTCTGAATCAAAGTCTAAACGGATTCACACCGTTGCCTCATCTCCTGACGCATCCAAAATAGCTTCAGTTCAAAGAAAGCAGCTTTTTGAAAGTTTGTTCTCTGTCACTTCCTTAGGAATTACGGAGCTTCAATTTATGCACAATACGAAGCGATCAATGCAGGTTGTCAGCAAGTTTTGTGGCTGTATGGAGACGATCACAAGATAACTGAGGCCGGCACCATGAATCTGTTTGTATACTGGATAAACGAGAATGGAGGTAGAGTGCCACGCACACTGAACTGTTACAGGGTTCACTGATTATTTTATCGCTGCTGGCAGAACATACATCAAAAGTATAGTCGACGTGTTTGCCTACACATACACAGTCACTACAGTCCTCACCAACTCTCAAGCACTTTGAGTCATTTAACAAGATAATAATAATAGTCCTTGCATTTTTTGATACAGCGCCTTAACACACCTTTGAGACATCTCAAAGCGCTTCACGGAATATACTGTAAAGTGAATTGACCGTGTATCGTGTGGGTGAAACGCGCACAAAATAGTAAAGAAGATATTGCCTGGTCTCCTTATATTGGTGATAAACGGAGATTACTGCAATGCTAAACGCCGTTTTTGTTTGTGGTTTGTTACTGGGATTCTATCAATAAATTATCCCCAAAGCTAAATGTTCATAAGAAATAGTAAGCCCACTTAACCTTGCTGATTGTACTCAGTGTTGAGGGACTTCCTACCTCGTCCTTCGCTTCTCTGTTTAGTCATTACTCCATTCACATTTCTCCTTTTTGGTTCTTCCTTTAATAAAACCCACTTGATCCTCTCCAATCAAATGTGCTAATGCTTCCTCTAATCTGTCTGTGAAGATCTTAGTGAAAATCGTACAAGCTGAATCAATGAGGGACGTAGGCATGTAATTATTACCCAGCGGAGAATCTCTACCTAGTTTGGATAATGCAGAGATTAGTGTTCCTTCACAGTTTCTGGCAGAGCACTTTTTTTTTCCTGTGGATTAATTAAACGTGTAAGAACTGTCTGACAAAATACACAAATGGATTCACCATGGCATAAATAGACAGGTGATTTCTCCCCTCCGCACATTGTCTTCAAATCCGAAGGGCGAAACCTAGGCAAGTTTCCTTACTCCGCGCACCTCTGTTTACCTAGCAGTATTATAAACAATATTTATAGTAATTTGGTCACTCAATCCACGACTGTTTGTGGGGACGCTGCTGTGCGCAATTGACTGCCGCATTTCGCCCACAAAATACACAGTCACTACACTTTACAGTATACTCTGTGAAGCGCTTTGAGACGTCTGAACGACGTGATAAGGCGCTATATCAAAGGCAAGGATTATTATTATTATGATTATAATCAGCTAAGGATGTGTGTTGTGCTTATCAAGCCTATGGTGTTGAATGGCACTTTCCTAAGTTGAATGGTTAAGAAGGAATGTAAGATTCAACAATGCAGAACCCATACAGTACGAGGAACAAAATCCATTCCATATTCTCCAAAATGTACCCTCCAAAGAAAAATGTCAGCAGGCGACTGCTACAACTTTGCTGTTGCCTTTAACTTCTAATTGGATTGAGTTTTGAGCAGGTTCTGGAGATTTATAAAGGTGACTGTACTACATGACAGGGGACACCAGTGACATTTTACTCGCGAGCTTTTCAAGGCCGTCTGCATTGTCCATTTAAAGGGCAAACGGCTGTTTCACACACAGCAGAACAGCAAAAGGGCAGATATCTATGTTCAACCATTCAGAGCCTCAGAAGAGATTAAATGCATCTTAATTGAAACTTGAATAAGCTGAAAGTGTTATTGTCCCTTATGGAAAAGAACATTTGTCTTGTTTAGAATATATTATGACACGGACTGAAGGCAGCACTACAGTACATTTCCCCCATAAAGCTTCAAATGTTCTCTCTGGGATAATCCTTTCTAAGGCTTGGGCCTTTTAGACATCCATCCATTACAGATCGCAATACTGTCTGTACATGCCAGCAGGTCCAAGGGCAGAAATACTCTGGGGTTACATTCTGAAAAGAATCTGCAACCTTTTTATTAAAGGCCTGATTACTCTTCCCAGTTATTGAAGGAATACTCTGGGATAAAAGCTTTAGGATAAAGACTTAACCTTGAGTCTAAATAGATAGCCCCTAGTGTTTTCCTTTGAATTGCCTCCGAGTTGAATTAAAAAAAAATTTGGAGGCAGACTTTCATTCTCTCTTAAGTGTAGTTCAAGGGTCGGTTGTGAAAGATGTCTTCATGTTTCATGCCCCGACTCTCAATATTCCCCATCTAATTACTCTTTCAGTGACTGAGGGGATGCTGAGGATCAAGATTAGCCAAATAACTGAGGCAATGAGCTGGGCCTCACTTTAACTAAACTATTTAAATTATAAATTATTTTTTGAATGAATACTTGAGCAGAAGTCCATTACAATGCTTTAATCTTAACTATTCAGATCCCCAGAAGTCCGGTTGGAGTCCTGTAGCTCAGTGATTAGAACACTCGCCTCGCAAGTGAGCGGACCTGGGTTCGATTCCCGGGCAGGTCAGGGCGAAACCTTACCCAAGTTTCCTTACCCCACACGCCTCTGTTTACCGGCAGTAAGTAGGAACCCGGTTGTTAGTCGATTAGCGGATCGCATTTCCGGCGGTAATTAAAATGGAGCAGAGGCGGGTAATTGGACTTGAGGTACAGATCAGCCATGATCTTATAGAATGGTGGAACAGGCTCGAGGGGCTGAATGGCCTCCTCCTGTTCCTAAGTTTCAAAGGGAAAAAAAATCCTTTTCAAATTCCTTTGAAGACTTTTAAATGATGTGTCTGTGCTATTACCCTGGTATCTGTGCGTGTGTCTTGTGCTGATGGACAATTGACAATTGCATTACTGTGTTACTCTCTCAGAGGAAGAGCTTGTTACTCCACCGCTAGATGGCATCATCCTACCTGGAGTCACAAGGCAGTGTCTACTGGATCTCGGTCACAAGTGGGTCAGTAACCATCTCCTACATAGAGCAACAAAGGCAACAGAGAACTTGTTTAAACATGAACTGCAGTGTCCTGCAATGCTTTATTCTTGACTATTCAGACCCCCAAGAAGTCTGATTGGAGTCCTGCAGTGTAGCGGTTAGAGCAGTCGTCTCGCAAGCGAGAGGACCCGGGTTCGATTCCCGGGCGGGTCAGGGTGAAACCTTAGGCAAATTTCCTTACTTCACACACACTCACACACACCACGCCTCTGTTTACCCAGCAGTAAGTAGGAACTCAGTTGTTAGTCGATTGGTGGTTCACTTTCTGGGGGTAATAGTTCCTTTTTTTAAAAAAAAACTGGTCACTCAATCCACAACTGTTTGTGGGACACTGCTGTGCACAATTGGCTGCCGCGTTTCACCCACAAAATACACGGTCACCACGCTTCACAGTGTATTCTGCGAAGCGCTTTGAGATGACGTGATAAGGGCAAATGGTCAGGGATTATTATTATTATTTTCCTCCCCCTTTCCATGTGCCTTGATATTTGATTTCAAGAGACTCTCTCTCACTCTCTTTCAAATCTCTTCCAACTCCCTCCCTCGATCTGCTCACACCCCACTCCACTCCCTTTCACCTTCACTCAGGAGGCAAGAGAGTCGAGAGGGGAGCTGAAGGCAACAGTTTACCCAAGAAGGTATGTTGTCCGTGTGTGACTTTGCTCTGCGCTCTTGAAAACAGAATGAATTCAGGGTCCAGGAGCGAACAATCACAATGAACGAGGTCCTTCGCGCATTGAAGGAAAACCGTGTGAAGGAGATCTTCGGGTCAGGAACAGCTTGTAGTGTGTGTCCAGTGACTCGAATCTTATACAAGGGTGAGGTAAGACAACACAACTCACATCTGCTTATTTAAATTGCTGATATTGGTACTCTCTTTCAAAGCCCTCCACGGCCTTGTTCCTCCTTACCTCTGTGAGCTGCTAGCTCTGTATAGGCCTGTCCGCTCCCTCCGCTCAGCGGGATCCGGCCTGCCACATGACCCCCCCCGCCCGGCCCACCCCACCATTGGCGATTGGGCCTTCAGCTTCTCTGCCCCCATCCTTTGAACTCCGTCCCACAGTCCCTTCATCTCGCTCCCTCCCTCTCTCGCCTCCTTCAAGGCCTGTCTCAAGACCCTCCTCTTTGACCACGCCTTTGGTCACCCTTCAAACCCCACCCTCCCCGCCCTCCACCCCTCCTGATCTCAACCCCCAGCTGACTGTCCAGCGCCTTGGGATGTCCCCCCGATTTGAAAGGCGCTATACAGATGTAATATGTAGTTGTTGAGAAACTGAACTTGATGATTGTCGCAGTGTCTCTAGTGTGAGTCTTGTAGTAAAGTGTGATGCTCGGAGCAGTTCTATCATTATTATAACATTGCAATCTCGTTTTCACATCTTTTCAGAACCTGATCATTCCTACAAAGGAGAATGGACCTGAATTGGCCAAACGGTTCCTTAAACATCTTACTGAAATCCAGGTGAGTGCAGCTGTCAAAGGAAAAGAGGTCTCCAGCTTGTCCCTCGTGCTCTCCGTTCCACCATCAGTGGCCGTGCTTTCAGCCACTACGCCACCAAACTCTGGAACACTCTCCCTCTATCCCTCAGCCTGGCCCCTTCCTTCCCCATCTGCAGATCGGGCCTGAAGACCTTCCTCTTTCGACCTGTGCCTACAGTCACCTCCCCTCTCCCCCCGGCTCGGTGTCAGGCTCTGACAGTGTCAAGCACTCTGGGACCCTGCCCTGCATGAGGGGGCACTGTGTAAATGCAAGTTGTTGTTGTTGAAATAAACATTTAAGTGTAGGACATATACAGGGCACGTCAATCAAGGTCTGAATGAAAACATTAATCTTGTTTTACGATGGACTCACTGTTCATTTCCAGCAATTTCTTGGTTTTATTTCAGGTTTCAGACATTCTTGGTTTTCCCTTTACCCTTATACAAGTCTTGTCTTGCTGGCCTCTTGCCTTCCAAATGCATGTCCAAACATTGTTCTATAAATAGACTCAACCCAACTCAGATGGACTCTACCTGCCTATTGTCTTCGCCGCCTCCTCCCTTTCCTCCAAGGCCGGTCTCAAGACCTTTCTCTTTGACCGTGCCTTCAGCTCCCCTCTCGACTCTCTACCCCTTCCTCGCTCCCTCCCTTCCCTCCCCTCACCCTGACCATTTCCCCCCAATGCTCGGGTCCTGACCCAACTGTCCAGCGCCTTGGGACGTCCTCCTGACGTGAAAGGCGCTCAATAAATGGAATCTTGTTGTTGTTGTTGTTGATCAATGATGTTCAAGACTAGTCTTACACACAGCATGTTAGAACAACAATGTCCTATTACCTCTATTTTCTGATCTTATCCGCAGTATCCTGTGGGCAGGGAAAGGCATAAATTGTCTTTGTGAGGACATTTGGCATTGATTTGTTTGGGCTGTGAGTCATCAAAGGGCAAATCGCTGACATTGGATCAAACATTCTGTCTATCAATGTTGCCAGATTCCTCAAAAAAAACTTTGAATTACAAATGGGGACTCACGTCAGGTTTCCTTAAGAACAATCTGAGCGATCTCTTGAACTAACTGCGTAGTTTCCTTGTGTAAGATGCAGTTTAGGTTGGGAGGTACTTTTTCATTGCCTACCGATTTTTCTGAGGGAGGCTTTTTCAACCCTATTCTCTTATTAATAATAATAATAATACTTGCATTTGATATAGCGCTTATCACATCTGTGACATGTCACAAAGCGCTTAACAGAATATACTGTAAAGTCAATTCACTTTATATTTCGTGGGAGAAATGCCGCAGCCGATTGTGCACAGCAGCGTCCCACAAACAGTCATGGATTGAGTGACCAAATTATTATTTTTTTAAATTGTGAAGGCATTGTTACCCCTGGATAAGCGATCTGTCGATCGACTAACAAACAGGTTCCTACTTACGGCTGGGTAAACAGAGGCGTGTGGAGTAAGGAAACTTGCTTAAGGTTTCGCCCTGCCTGGGAATCGAACCCAAGTCCTCTCGCTTGCGAGGCGAGTGCTCTTCTGGATGCGTTTCAAATCCTTGAGAAACCAAAGCAATGAGACTTCTCACAGCACAAGTCTAACATTAGACAACATCATTCAACAACACAAAGAGTCTGTTTGCAATGACCTAGCTCACTACGTTATATAACTCAGAAGATATATTAATGGCCATGCTGATTTTGGGGGCTTTTATGTATTGTTCGACTACTAACGATGTCAGACCCGTTCTTTGAATCAAGTAGGTGATAAGTTGGCACTGTTGCAGTGAAAGAATAGTCTGTATATAAAAAAACACACACACAAAATCCTTCTGTGAATCCATCAGTTCATACATTAGTGGCCCTTAATATCAAATAGGCAGAGAGATGACATGAGAGGCTGGATAATGCCCTCTTTTGTTTTTTTGTTTCTTTGTGAAACAAATTCATTGTTTTTCTCTTGTGCTATTAAAATATATTGGACTTGCTTAAACCTCGAGGGAATAACCAGCAGCCAGAATAAAAATCACCAGAAAAAGAGCTGCAAATGAAACATTTTCATGGTGTTTCTTTACTCCACACGCCTCTGTTTACCCGCCAGTTGTCAGTCAATTGGCGGATCGCTTTTCCGGGGGTAATAATCCCTTCAAAAAAAAGCATAATAATTTGATCCATGATTGTTTGTGGGACACTGATGTGCGCAATTGGCTGCTGCGTTTTGCCCACAAAATATACAGTCGCTTTACTTTATTATTATTTTACAGTATCTTCTGTGAAGCGCTTTGAGATGTCTCAAATACATGATAAGGCACTGTATCAAAATGCAAGGATTATTATTATTACAGTGCATATCTGTAGCTCTGTTCTCACATTAACATAAGAGCAACAGTACAGTCTGTATCTGCTTCCAGAGTCTTAAACTCATCATTGAAATAGCGCAGTGTACATCCGCACCAGCATTAGAAAGAGAATTGAGAGAGTTTCACATAGATATTGGGACTCTTACGCAACATCAGGTACATTAGTAAAATTGAAATTCAGAAGATAATGCAAATTCTAGAAACCAATACTTAAGAGCTAGAAAGATGCAATTTTAAAAAAAGGATTGCTAAGAGATTGCCAAATAAATGCTCTCGTTATCTTTGTAACAGGTTAAACGAATAATGGAGAAGTAATGTGCGGATAATGGAAATTTAACTTGTTTTTTTTCCAATACAAATGCCTTCATGATCTTGATACATTTACTTACTTTGTGGAGTCCTGTAGCTCAGCGGTTAGAGCACTCGCCTCGCAAGCGAGAGACCTGGGTTCGATTCCCGGGCAGGACGAAACATTGGGCAAGTTTCCTTACCCACGCGGTTCTGTTTACCTAGTAGTAAGTAGGAAACCAGTTTGTTAGTCGATTGGGGGGATTGCTTTTCCAGGGGTAATAATCCCTTCAATAAAAACAAATAATTTGGTCACTCAATCCAAAACTGTTTGTAGATCACTGCTGTGTGAAATTGGCTGCCACGTTTTATCCACAAAATATCCAATCAATTCACTTTACAGTATATTCTGTGAAGCGCTTTGAGACATCTTGAAGATGTGATGAGGCTCTGTATCAAATGTAAGGATTATTATTATTATTATTATCGTTTCACCACATTAACTCTCTTTAGCATGGCTTCTAATATTATGTACAGTATGTCTAACTATTATTATTTATGGGATACACAATCTAATTGGATTAAAATATTTCTGACAGTACGGACAAGTGCCAAGTGACTGGACACAGCTGGTGGTGTGACCTACAAGGTGGAAAGTGCATCAAAACTCGATGAAGACGCCAAACAGCAAAACTCAGTCGTATTAGCTATGAAGCTGTTTGCAATTCTGTGTCTGTGAACAAGTCAGAGGTTTGTGGGTTACTGTCGGTGTTTAGAATAAAGTACAGTGGGTTTAGGGTTATACATGGTGTATCTAATGTACATTATGTGTTGTAGTACTTTCTTCTCACTAGGAATCACTAGCCAAGCATCTAACATAGTTTCCAGCAGTGCCATTGACATGTGCTGTATTCTCACCATTCTTACTCAATTTTGTTGATGAGCTTCAGCAAGGTCCAACTCCTAGTTTTCTTGTTATTCTTTGTGCCTCTGTGTGATATTGACTCGCAAGTTCTATATATTTCATCATCTTTGACACACTACTCGAATACCCTACAGCCAAAAATATAGAGGATGTCACTGCCTGTTGAGTCCGTGTGCTTATCACGCAGTCAGTGACTCTGTAAAAGGAATATCTCTATATGAATCATCATTGCTGCACTGCTGTTAGACTAGTGAAGCGTTCAAAATGTGAGATAATTTTCCGAACAAAAAAAAAAGATTACTGTCAGGAATCGGGGCCAACATCACATTATATTTTATGCTCACGCAACCCCCTAAATGCCTTGAATCATATTGTATCAGTAATAGTGACAAATAAACACTGCTCCAAAGTAGAATTGTAACTGCGTATTCGTAGCAGTTGAAAACGTCAAATGATAGATACGTAAAGCGTGAGTTACAAGTCTTGGCGTTCGAGATAACATTGTGATTTGTGAATGGTTTTAACAATAACAACAACAACTTGCATTTATATAGTGCCCCTCACACAGGGTAAGGTACCAGAACTTTTGTATTACACAGCCTTTGATTTCCCTCTTTGCCCCTTCCCCTCACTTCACGCCTCTATTTCATACTTGATCGAAAATAAATGTTCTTGTGGATAGTTTAGCCGCTGTGAGTGACAGCATTAAGCACGGTACATTAATTGCGATTCACATAATCTGAGACTTTGCAATAATAACACAAAACTGTTTATTGCCGGTCGGCAACAGGGTTTAATCTTTACACGGTTTATATAGATATAGTTTTACACTAGAATAGATGTTATGGTATTTAACGGTGCATTACTGTATTACGATTTGTATTATTGATTGTCTAATTAACTATGAAACAATGTTGTTCAATAAAACATGTGTGATTGAAATAATTCTCTTTCTTCTGTGATTATTTTACTATTCACAATAACTTTTGTCTGGGGAAAAAGGTGCACTGATCAGCGATTGTGATCTTATAAATAATAACAACAATAATAATCCTATAATAATAATCCTGGCATTTGATGCAGCGCCTTATCACATCTTCAAGACGTCTCAAAGTGCTTCAAAGAATATATTGTAAAGTGAATTGACTGTATATTTTGTGGGCGAAACGCAGCAGCCAATTGCGCACAGCAGCGTCCCACACACAGTCGTGGATTGAGTCACCAAATCATTTTTTTTAAGGGATTATTACCCCTGGAAAAGCAATCCGCCAATCAAATGACAACTGGGTTCCCACTTGCTGGGAGGTAAACGGTGTGTGGAGTAAGGAAATGGCCCAACGTTTCGCCCTGCCCGGGAATCGAACCCAGGTCCTCTCGCTTGTGCTACTGAGCTACACGTACAATAGAGTAAACAACATGACAGAGGGACAGGAGATGAGAAATGAGACGATAGCGATAACCTGTAAGGAACCTAAATGGTATTGCCAGCAACTTAATTAATTTGAGTCAGTGTGTCTGACAAATACCCCTTAGGCTCTTAAAGCCATCTCCCACTGTTAATGTCCACCAGAGAAAAATATCAAGGCTATATTGAATCAGTTCATTACATTTTAAATGTAGTCCTCTGTTTATTTCTGCACAAATACAATGAGAAAACGCTACGTGGTGCATGGGTAACCGTAGTTTATGGAGCGAAAACAAAATCTGTATTTGCATTCTTGCACTGCGTGAAGGTACAAAAAGACCTTTTTTGTTAAAAAGAATTATGGAAACATAAAGCCATTCGCTGGCATTTTGGTGCTAAAGTAATTGCTATTAGGCTAACATTGTTGAATAGAAAATAGGAAAGATAGTGGCCTACATAAGTCAAAGTCAAATAGTTAGGAGCATTGCAGCCAATAGAAAAAGGTTTTCGAGATGAAATCTGTATAATCTGAATATTGTTCAACACTACTTAATTCCGCTAGAAATTACATGAAGATGTAGCAGAAATAGCTTTGGAAAGCTCCTATCGAGGACATCAATACTTTGCATTTACACAGCGCCCCCTCACGAAAACAAGACGGGGGGAGGGGGGAGGTGACCGTAGGCACAGGTCAAAGAGGAAGATCTACAGGCTCGACCTGAAGATGGGGAAGGAAGGGGCAAGTCGGAGGGAGGGATGGAGAGTGTTCCAGTGTTGGGGGGCGTAGTGGCTGAAAGAGTGGCCACCGATGGTACGAGGGACAAGCAGGAGGCTGGAACCAGTCGAGCGGAGGGAGCGGGTAGCGGGTTGGGGAATGAGTAGGTCAGAGAGATAGGGAGGTGCCAGGGAGTGAAGGGGTTTGAAGATGAGTGAGAGGATCTTGAAATCGACATTTAACCATTCTTTACGATCCTGCTCAACAATTTAGTTTCATTGACATGGATTTGTCACCTTACTTAACGGTGCTTGCTAAAGGTTTAGAAGTGGAACCATTTTGTTCACCTTTAAGCCCGTGACCTAACCAACTAACCTTTTGAAAAAGCCATTTTTTGTTTTGATACAAAAATGTTGTTTTGTGGGTTTCATCGTTTTCACGCTTTAGTGTAAATTCGAATCGCGCATCAGTGTTTGAAACGCACATCAGCGTCGCAAGTCATATTAAATCAACCGTGCCAACGATTCTGATGTGAAACACAACATTGGGTGACAATAAAGATAAAATAACATGTTATGTATATTGCTGTCTTTTGTGTACTAACAGTGACCTGCTCTGGCTTTTATATCAAATGCTGTCCCTGGAGTAATTGAAATAATTAATCTTTACTGCGTCCATGTGAAGCATCCAACAGAAGCCGAGGTTTTAATCAAAAGGAACGCTGCAATGTGAGGGGGAAACTAGTCCCAAGGTGGTGAAGTCAGGACTTTCATTAAATGCTCACTGATCACACCACGTTACACACCAAGTGTTGTTCTTTCAGCGCTTTGCAGGTTTACTCATTCTTGTGACTATTATCATATTGGAGTCTCCAGTATATCCCTGTTAGGTTTCCATGACATTCTCTCTTGCGAGTAATTTAAAATAACATTGCTATGTGGAGCAGTCGCCTCACAAGCGAGAGGACCCGGGTTCAATTCTCGGGTAGGGAGAAACATTAAGCAACTTTACTTACTCCGCACGCCACTGTTTACCCAGTAGTAAGTAGGAACCCGGCTGTTAATCGATTAGCGGATTGCTTTCCGGGGGGTAATAAACCCTTCGAAAAAAATATTAATAATAATTTGGTCACTCAATCCACGACTATATGTGGGACACTGCTGTGCGCAATTGGCTACTGCATTTCACCCACAAATTATACAATTCACTTTATAGTGTATCCTATGAAGCGCTTTGAGACATCTCAAAGACGTGATGATGCACTGTATTAATCGCAAGGATTATTATTATTAAGTCTCACTTGCAAAAACATCATTCACTTCCTGAGAATACGGCACAGTGGGTGTTATACGAATCACTTATCCAAAATATCATAGGATTCTTAACAGGCAATCAAACTGCTTTTAATCTTGAGAAATAATGAAGAGCAGATAAAAATAAGGAAATGTGGGAACGAGAGCAGTAAAATAAAAGGATTAACTTTGCAATTTGAGTTTATTTCTTCCATAAACTGGCACCATCCACGTGAGAACTCCCGAAGCAATTATATTGCCACTGTATTTCTTGTGATTTCTGTTGTGTTCTAGCGAGCAGTGCTTACTGCCTATCTTTCTGTATTGACATCTTGTGGCGTGTTTCAGGTATTTTATTCCAGTGGGATTCGGTTTGTGTTATGCATCTGTTCTGACAGCTGCTGTGTAACAATTGTACGATAAGACCTTAGTCACAATAATTTTTTTATCATCACTGGCAGACGTGGCGAGAGACTGGAGTAATATTGAATTTTCTCAGGTGATCATTTTTCCGTGAATTATATTGAGATTTTACTTTCAATTTTAATTTGGGCAAAATAAGCTAATTGTACCTGAATTGGACAAATAAGAAGGGGTGCCCATTAAGTCTATTTTCAATTGAAAGAATAGGAGATACTTCAATTTAACTTATTAAACGTAAGAAAACAAAACGGACCATGTTTAGAAATTACACCTTGATCTGGATTCGCTCTGTTTATGCAGTGTACACCCATTTCAAGACCCTCCTCTTTGACCGTGCCTTTGTTCACCTCCTTCCCCCTCTGCCCTCCACCCTCTCCGATCCTGACCCCCAGCTCGGGTCCAAAACCCTGACTGTCCAGCGCCTTGGGATGTCCTCCCGTCGTGAGAGGCGCGATCCACATGCCAGTTTGTTGTCGTTGTTTTTCCGTAGTTCTTAAAAGGCCTCACAGAGAAACAGCTTGAAAATGATGACTGTATTCGAGAATTTCCTAAATTTGAGACGCTATGAAATGCTGCACAGATTCAGACCTCGGTGGAATTCCTACCCACTCGGAGGCTTGGAGAAGGGATTAACAAGAACAACATCAACCTATATTTATGTAGCGCCTTTCACACAGGGCGGGGTCTCGGAGCACCTCACAGTGGCGGAGCCTAACTCCGAACTAGGGGGGAGGGAGGTGTCTGTAAGCACGACCAAAAAGGAAGGTCTTTAGTCGTGAACTAAAAGAAGGGAAGGACGGGGCAAGATGGAGGGATTGTTGGGGGAGAGTTCCAAAGCTTCGGGGCGTAGTGGCTGATGGTGGGGAGTGCAGCACCGATGGTGGAGAGGAGGGGACGAGGGACAAGCAGGAGACCGGAGCCAGCCAAGGGGAGGCAGCGAGGGGTGGAGTGGGGAGAGAGCAGGTCAGAGAGGTAGGGAGGTGGCAGAGGGTGAAGGGATTAAAGGAGCAGAGAAAACAAGTTGTGAAGCTGAGAGGTCAGAAAGGCTGCAGTGAAAGGCATATTGCAGTATAACACATCTCAGATCAGTCGAGGTTATCTGGTTCACACCCTTTATGAAGATGTATCAGCTTTGGATTGGGCATGGTGACGCTGGGGAAGAGAAGATTGAGAGGCGACATGATTGCTGTCTTTAAGTTTCTGAAGGGACAAGACATTATAGATCATGACAAACTGCTTCAACTTGTTCAGGAGAGTAAACCCAGAGGACACGGCCTGCGATTAAAGGGGAAAATTCAGACCAAATCTACGCAAACACCATTTCAGTGAGCGAATAGTGAACCTGTGGAACAGGCTCCCTGGGGAGACGGTTGAAGCAGGAAATGTTGATGCTTTCAAACACAGATTAGATAGTTTTCTTTTAGGAAATAACATTATGGGATGTAGAACATAGGGAGTTCGGGACATATGTGCCTGTGACCACCAGGAAGGTGGAAGGTGAACTAGATGGACCTCGGTCTTTTATCGTCCAGTGTTTCTTATGTTCTTATGGAGTTTGATGGTGGATTTCCAGTAGGGTTTTGAGTGGTGTATCACTTATTCCAGGTTTATTGTGGACTCAAGGTCTAAATTTTGTACTGTGGAGATTCTCTTGCCCTCTAACCCTGGATTGCCCAATGGGCAGAAATACAGGATAGAGATTTTTAACTCCTGGATTGACAGAAGTCGTAAAAAAATTCCACAGGCACGTTTGTTGATAAGACATCTCAAAGCGCTTCACAGAATATGCTGCAAAGTGAATTGACTGCTTATTTTCTGGGTGAAACGTGGCAGCCGACAGTCTCACTGACTTGTCTGACTGCACCAGAATGTGACAAATACTCAGTGATGCCGAAAGGGTTACAGTTCGCCACGAGCAATGGATGACTTTTTTTTCCACAAACATTCACAGCCTCAGTTTCCTTTTCTTTCCATTTGGGGGAAAGTGAGAATCGAGGCCGGGGCTGTAAACTGCGAGGGGAATATAGAGCTTCCTCGCTCCGCCTCGAGGGAAATATTGATAACAAATTAACTAAATTGTTTTGAATATCTGTAAGGGTAGT